TGTTTGGACAGGCTCCTTAGCTCTCTGTACTGCCACAGCGTGTTCAGCACCCGAGCCGCCGCCTTCACCACTTTCATCCAGTACCTGGAACATGTAGCACGCGTGAATCTGGCGTATCGTTTTAGAGGTCAGATAATCGGAGCAAAAACAAAAAAAAGAAGCACGTTGGCAAAAACAAAAGACTCTGTTTTCTACCCTTTGCCTCGGCCTTTGCTGATGTCCACCAGCTTCTCGATGCTGTCGGCTAAAGCTTTGGCGTTCTCCACGTTTCGGCCGGTGACCTCGTGCAGCAGACTGACCCCACCGTGACGTCCGAAGGCACGGAGGGGGCTTCTGCCGGCCCGCCGGTTCACCAGATCCCGCATGGCGTACCTTCCTGCTGGGGCACACACACAAATCAGGGCTCTCGGGACCCGAGCACCTCAACCCTGGCCTCCAGTTAGAAATCACCTAAAAAAAAAAATTCTACCTGTAACAACTCATCTATGCATCTCAAAAGTGCATTCTTTACAATCTTTTGAGGGGGAGAATCCCATTTTTCACTTTTCTTTCATAGAGACCAGACCAGCTGACCTTTTAAGATCGTGTTACCTCCCATTCTTGATCTTATCGCTTCACACTACTTATTCACATAAGTGATTAAAAAAAATTAAATCCCCACAGTTTTACTAGTGCGTCTTGTTTGTTCTGTGTGCGGGCGTGGCGGGCAGTGGCCACAGAGCAGACGACCCGGTCGTTGTCCATCCTCAGCAGCTCCACCAGGATGGCCAGACCGTTCTCTTTTCGCACCCCCGCTCAGATGTAGGCCAGGAACTGCGTATGGGAGGGGCAAAAAAAATAAATACTGTAAAAATCAATTCGACATATTTAGTTTTTTTGTAGTGAATTATTTTTGGAATACTCCTTGTTTTTTATACGGGTACTTGGAGGAAAAAAAGGGGGTAATTCAGGACATCTTCTGCTTTGTTTGGTTTTCGTGACTACATTCTTCAAGTCTCCGGACGTAAAATGGCAGCAAGAAACTGCCAGCAAGAAACTTGGGTGTCATGATTGATGACCAGCTGACCTTTAAAGATCACGTTGCCTCTGTTTCTCGATCCTGTCGCTTCGCATTACTAAACATAAGAAAGATCCGGCCGTACCTAACAACATGCTACCCAGCTCCTGGTGCAGTCTATGGTCATCTCCCGCCTAGACTATTGCAACGCACTCCTGACTCTCCCAGCCTGTACAGTAAAACCTTTTGTAGAAGCTATTTTTCGTATTTACATTAGTATGAAGCTGAAATCCCTGAGCAAGCTTCTATGACATGTGTGTTTTGTCTTCCATCTGTCTACCATCTGTGTCCTCCAAGGTCTAGCCTGCAACAACAGCCAACTACCGGGAAAAACCTTATAAGGGCATGACAGAAATTGACCTCGAGTGTCCAATACTTTCATATCCCATAATATGTACACTGCTTAGCAACTATCAGTCTAATAAAAATCAACTGCTAGAGAAATGTGGGTGAGATTCGATGTGTGGCATTCTCTGGCCACACAGTCTCTCCCTCCTCTGCAGTTGAGAAAAACTTATCCTCTGTGTCAAGCCTTTTTATTCTGATGCCTCTTCCTGGGTCTATTGAATAATAACTAAACTCTTGATAGTGAGGAACTAGGAGTCGTATTTAGACCCAACACCTTTACAAATGATCCAGAACGCGGCGGCGCGTCTGGTCTTCAATCAGCCCAAAAAATCTCACGTCACCCCTCTGTTCATTGAACTCCACTGGTTACCTCTGGCTGCTCGTATCAAATTCAATTCCCTGATGCTAGCCTACAAAGTGCTTAAAGGTACGGCTCCCATCTACTTGAATCCTCTTGCAAAGGCTTATGTCACAACTCGATCACTCCGGTCATCAATGGATTGTCGTCTAGCAGACTTCACCACGCTTAAGACAATCCAGACTGTTTGCATGTGTCGTTCCAAGATGGTGGAACGACCTACCAAGCACCACAAGAACAGCAGAGTCCCTGTCTGTCTTCAAGAAACTCTTGAAGACCCACCTCTTCAAAGAGCATCTCCTATCCCAATCCTAACCTGTACCTCTACCCCCCCACAACTCCTTCTGTGGTCCCCTCTACCTCTATCTCTATCTCACCACTGATTCTGATCAGTGTTTCTCCTCTATATAGCTTATTGTCATAGTGATGAGAAATGGAATATTGTGTCTACTCTGTAAGTCGCTTTGGATAAAAGCATCTGCCAAATGCATAAACATAAAATGGCATCGAAACCTACCTTCCAGTTTCCGGCAGAGAGGTTCTGCAGGGAGCCGGCTGCGCCCTCCAGCGTGGCGGGGGTGGAGCTTTCAGCCAGCAGGTTGAGGTTCGGCTTCTCCGCCAGCAGCTCTGCTCCTCAGACACTGGGAGAAAGCTGGAACTGCCCCCACGCCATCCCGCTGCACACAGGTGGAGCAGCTAAACTCATCGGATACATGAAAAGAACTTTTAGGACCTATAGTTGGCCCTAAAAGCTGCCTTCAAACGCCTTATTTGTCATATCCTGTCCAATACATTTCATTTTATGGCATACTAAAAAGGTTTTTCGCTTCCAAGAGTCACCTGGTGGTCATTTGAAAACTGGGTTACTTTATGTATCGTGCGTCATTTGTTCAGTTTCCAGATCTCTTTACATTTTCATTCATTTGCAGACATCTTTCCATTTTATCTTTCTTTCTAATTCTGTTACTCAGCCAGCCGCCGCTTTCCTAACCAATCAGACCTGACCAAGTTTTTGCTCTGAATAAGCCAACGAGAAGAATTTGGAAAAAATAAATTAATTAATACAAACTGAGCCCAGTCAGATCTCAGAAATGCAATGCGGATATTTAAACTCTTAATTATAAGGGATGTTTCACCCAGACGCGACTTGGAGAAGTATTTACCGGGCGAGAAATCCACATGTGGAGTGCTCCAATCCTGCAGGTAGACCAAACACTGCCTTCATTTCTGCAGCCTACGCTCCGATGTCGGTACTCCACAGCAAAAAGACTTCAGCGCCCGTGGGACAGAACAGCAAACTTTGTCATTCCTTACCAAACTTTGAAGCTTGAGAGCGGCGGTGGCTGAGGTGAAGGCCGGCGGCCCGGCCGGCTGAGTGTGGCCGAGCCTGCCTGTCCACACGGCTCGTTACGGGAAGTCAGCTCACCTGGAGTCCCAGGTGTCAGGAAGTAGAGGGGGGAGGAGGAGGAGGGGGAGGGGTGATGAGCACAGCTGCACCAACTGTCTGACTTTTTGTCTTTCAATACAAATTTTGGTAGTTTTTTTTTTTTTGGGCAAACTGATCAGCCAACAATCTCACACATGGCCCTCCAGGAGGGCGACGTGGAACTTCTAGATTAAAGGTGATCTTTTAGAGATTTATAGACAGAATGAATAACACAATGTGTATGAACATGACTAAAACTTCCCCCGTCATGTTGTTGCTATGTGGTATTGGTTTTGCCCTTGAAATTAGAGATCAGAGGTTCGGTTCTTGATCCACGGCCCGTTGACCTCTTCGGCCCGTTGACCTCTTCGGCCCGTCGGCATCTTCTGATCAGGCATCGAACCGCTAATCTCCAATTCCAAGGGCAACACCAATACCACTTTACCAGAAATCCTCACAGAGGCAACGTTTCGCTTTGCTCAAACATGTACACATCATAGAGAGATCCTCACATACTCAGCTGAAAGAGTTGCCATTGTCAAATTTCTACTTCCATCTCTCATAATGATTGAAATGCTGTTAAATCCAAAGACTTGTTCCCACGCTTACTGACACAAAGGAAGAGCAAGACAAGGCCGTTTACTTTAAACACGTAAAAGGAAATATATTTTCTTTAAAAATGAAATAACAAAAAAGAACAACATTTCATACAGAAGAGCTGCTTTTGTCATTGCAGAAGTAATTTACACAGGACTGGAAATGAAAAGACTTTCCTCAAACTGGCAGAACACCAACCACACCACAGTTAAGAACATTTGTTTTCTTTTAACTGACTCCAAGTGGGAGAGTGTTGTGCCACTTCTGGTAACGCGTGATAAGGTAATGTCACATACCGAGCTTCTTTTAAGGGTTAATATACACTGGCTCTTGGTAATTCACTCATAGGACGTACGCACCATTGAAACATTTATACACAAAATTATTTCCTCTCCCCCCCAAACAACTCCTTAAAATGTTTAAGACAACAGTTAAGAGAAACTGTGGCTCGAGGGTTGGAATCGTACCGCCTACCTAAAGTCCGACCCTTCCGTACAAACATTCGCTTCAGTTTCAGCGAACACGGCTCACTGCCGGGGAAGAAGAAAACGTTGTGGCGGTATGTCTGGCAGAAACCAGGGGTGTGCATAGGTGTTACAGACTTCTTCCCCTGAGGCTCTGATAAAGCCATTTTTCTTCTTATCCTCCCCCCCCCATCCTATTCAAGCTCAGGAGCCATGGCCACTTGTTAGCGCTTCTTCATATCTAAATCTGTCCACAGAACAAAGTTCGAGTACCTGCCGAGTAGCATATTGTGAATGAAAAAGACGGGCAAAATGAGCCTGAGAGTTGGCCAGACATGATGACAAGGGGTGACAAAACGCAGTACCTTTCCTTCGCAGTCCTTTTTTTTTGTGCAAACTCGGATGTAAACAGAGACCGTCGGTGGTTGGGAGGGGGCACAGAACACCAGGCAACAGCAACACAGAGATGTAGTGTGCGCCTTCAACAAACTGAAAGGCACAGAGGACCAGCCAAATAAATAAAGCGCTGCGGGCGGGGAAGTGAGATGAAACTGCCAAGTTTCCTGTGCTTTTTCTTCGCTCCAACTTGCGTTGGTAGCCGATGGAGTTAACTTGTCTCCGCTGTAGCAGTTTCTGATGTGCTTCAAAGTTCGGCTTGCTTTTCCCAGGGCCGAGGACACCCGGGGTTTTCAACAAGAGGACACAGAGTACCACAAGTGCCTTTTAACGGTCAACACACTCACACGCGCTCGCGCGCACACGCACACACACACACACAGGCAACCCCATAGGTCTGTTTATGGTCATGCTCACTATTGCCTTTCCAATATTTTCATCCATCCATCAATTACAAAAGAAAATTACAAAATATCTACTACAATGCCCCTCCGCTTCCCACCCTTCAACTATGAGGACAGAACTATATTCACTTTGTTTTGTTTTTTATCATTTATATATACATGTATATGTATATATGTACACAACAACACGCCTTTAAGGCGTTGAGAAAAGGGGGTAAGGGCAGGATGAAGTCTTTAATGAGGCGTCAGTCATTGTTTCTTCATTTCCCTCTTTTTCAGCAACAGTTTATGTACAGAAATGTGATCCTAATGACAGACTTGAGTTTAGATGCCGCGGTGGATCTGAGATGGAACCTTTAGGGTGATGAGCTCATTGCCGTTGACTGTATGTCAGTAGACCCAGGACACAGGAACCCACTGAGGGGTGTTGGACACCAGGTCCACGGCCTCCTCCAGCAGGCGAATGGTTTCGTCGATCTCGTTATTGATGATGGTTTGGTCAAAATAGTGAGCGTAGGTCTGCTGCAGCATCTCCGATTCCTTCTGGAGTCGCTGAAGAGAATCGTCCTGTTGTCGGAATTTGCAAAAAGACACAAACTTTCAATCAGACTTTTTGTCGCCCCTGTTCAGACCACGGCAAAATGACTCGAGGTTGAAATCTGAAATCTACACTGCTGTCAGATATTTTCCTATGATGGTGAGGAGGGGAGAATTTGAGGAGTTTTTGGAAGAAGACTACACATAGCTAGAGCTAAGCTAACTGACAAACACAGGGAACAAATATGCTAGACTTACACCACTCAGTCTCTACTTACAGGCAGTTTCCTGCACCACTTTGGGACCTTTTGGTGCAAATGAAAATAAGCGTGCCAAAGGAAATAAAAACATGCATAAAGAAAACAGAACGTGCACAGCAGGAATGAGCAAAACAAAAACAAATGTGGAAAAACAGGAAAGGAGGGTGCCTCTCACTCTTCATGAATTATCCCTCTTAACAAAGATGAATTCCTCAAATCGCTACTTTGTTTTCACATACAGTGTCCTTTTCATCTATGAAGGGTAACCGACGCCAAATTCTAATTAGCTTCCCGATGTATCCATCGGCAGGAGGCTAAAGCTACATCTTCTTTTAGTCACAGTACAGAATATGTAGCGTTAAGTCATTTTCAGTATTTTGGTTATTTTGGTTATTAGGAATTTAGGGTAAAGACAAACAGGCTAGTTTAGATTAAATCCGAGTTAGTAAATGCAAATTAGGGCGCCTCTGAATGGATAAATACACGTCACTGCACCTCAGTTATGCCTGGGGTGATGGTGGGGGCTGCGATGAAGACAACGTAGGGGGCAAACTCTGCTGTTCGCAGGATCTTCAAAGCCTGTGGGAGAAAAAACAACAATTGGTCATCCAAAACCTTTAGCAAACTATCTGTAAAAGTAAGGAAGAATAATCATGTCTCAAAAAAAAATTGTTTTCAATTCCAAAGGATTATACGTTAGGCTGTAATGACAACGTGGAAGGCTTCGCTGACCCATGTTTTTAAGACGAGCTACTTCAAAATATTCTCTATCGTTTGGAAAGATTTATCAAGAAACTCAGAAAACATCATACACATCTGCACATTCTTCGAGTGGGCGCTTTATCGCCGCTTCTGGCAAAGGCACATTAAATGCCTTGAAAATATGCTAGAGAAAGAAGCTGGTGTTTTTCATGTTGCTGTACTTTAATTGTGTTGACCTTTAAATGTGGTGACTTTTTTCTGTTTGGACATTTTCAGATACACTGGCCAGCAGGTCTAATGTGAAGTTAGAGATAATTAGTCACATTTTAAGTGGCCATGTGCCACCAGTAAAATGGTATGATTTAAAGAAAAAAAATACAACACCAAGAGTTGCACCGATGGCCATCGCTAAAAGCCTGCGTTGAGTAATTACAACGAATTTTGGATAATTTCTAATGTACATCATTTGTGTGGTTAGATGTGTGTTACCTGTGGCTCCACATCCAGGATGGAGATCATGCCCTGTACGTGGATCTGCCTGATGGTCTCCAGCCTGGTCCCATACATGGCGTCCTCATGGCTGCCGTATTCAAGGTAGTCGTTGTTGCTGATGTCCTGCATCATCTGGTCGTGGGACACAAAGTAGTAGTTCTTTCCGTTCTCCTCGTCTTTTTTCGGAGGCCGAGTCGTATCTGAGCAGAGACAGACAAGTGGAGGAAGAAACCTATACAGATCGCAGGACACCAGGGATGGGTGACAACGCAAAGTTTGTGCATCTTTTTGTGTCGTCTTAAAACTTTTTATAAATCAGAAAGGTGTAAAGAGACAATTCTCTGCAGGATGCATGGGACAAAGTAGACATTCGCTTTGGGTTTCTACACAATTACGTCTTCAGTTTGACCTCGAGAGCTGAAAGCTTTGAAAGTCTCCCGTTTGTGTTTTTAATCAAGCTTGTAATGTGTGCTTCCTTACGAGGAATGGGATACGCAAAGCGGTCAGAATGTTTGGCAATCAGAGTGTTCTTGATGTGTCTCCTTCCAACTCCATGTGCACCTGCATTCAAAGAGAGAGAGGACGTGGGTTAAAGTAACTAGAGATCCAAGTTTGGCTTCTACATCAGAAAAGACTCCACATCCAGATAAATGAATGGAAAGATGAATCCCACAAGCGTAGATCTTTGTAAAAGTGTTCTATAGCTGCAAAGCTCTGAGGAACCAGTCTGAACCAAAATGAACTGAGCTCACTTAAAAATATTTCCAATAGTTCAGATCACAACTCTATTTGGACCGCTTTTTAAACGAAACATTACGATAATAATTTGACTCTCGGTCTTCATAGAAAAAAAAAAAAAGTTACACAGAGTAGCCAGGGATACTTACAGATGTGCTTCAACATCCCAGTGCTCAATGACTAAACGTCAACTCTTTGAAACAGTTTAGCCAAACTGTTTGGCTTAAGATTCACTTTTAAAAAAACTTGTCGCTTAAAACATATGCCTGCAGCTTTACACAGACTCACCGAGCAAAACCAGCGTTTTCCTCTTGAACGAGGGCAGTTTGACCACTTCCTCATAGGTCACCAGATCTAGTTGGTCAAACACTGCACAACAGAGCACTTTGTTAGCACTAGGGATAACGTTAAACTCAGGGATGACACAGAAATAGACAACATGTCATTTTATAACAATCTGGCCTAAACTGCCCTTCAGTTGATCATACTTCATGGCAGCTGTGCTGGGTTTCTGTTGAACCCTTCCGCTCTCCCAGAAATGGGAATAAGCAGTTTTACTAAATTGATGGATTCACCAGCAATGCATTCATGGCGCAGGATTAACTCTGGAGCTGTTATCAGACTTCAGATGGGTACTACAGAGAAATCTGACCAACAAGTGTGCGCCCTCCAAAACAGAGCCACCACGAATGCATCTGAAAACATCAGAAATGCTCATTTAATGAAGACTCACATGGGACCATTGCAATGCCGCTGCCAACGAGATAAACATTCATTCCAATGTTGTGTCCCTCTAGTGTAAGATAAATTCTCACATAGGTTTTAATATAAAGAGCTGGATTATTCAAATTATGCTACGATGTGCGGCAACCAATCCAGATGAAGGCCCAATGTCTCAACAATGCATTAAACCCCATCTAATTTACACTAACCTTGGTCAGACATAAAAACTATCATTCCCAGTGCCACCTCTTAAACATTAATTACACTGGCACAAAAAACCGCAGCAGCTCATCACAAAAGCAGCCGTCATTCAAAAGCCCAGGAGGCATTTGGATAGGTACCAAGTATTAGAGTAAAGATGGAAGAAAAACACAGAAGCTGGATGCCAGCTTTTGGTTACTTACATGCAGCCATGTCATTGGGTAAGAGAGAGCATGAAATATGGACAAAGGGTGGGAGTGGAAGGGTTAATAAAAGGACCATAAAAGTACAAATACAACAAAAAACACCAAAATATAACAACTGTTAGTCACTAAAAACAAGACGACAAATTTCGACAGCAGTTAAAAGGGCAATCGGAGGGTAAAAACACAGCGTGAAACATGGCTTCTTCCTGATCGCTTATATTAACTACACAGCTGCAGCAATTACATTATCCCACACTTCACTAAGATTCACAAAAGATCCAGAGAGCCCCAAAAGTCACGTCTGGAAACATCTGAAGCGGTGATCAATTTAGACTTTAATAAAAAATAAATAAAGAATGAGTTCTCCTGCCTTCTGTGTGGTGTCATGTTTCTTAGCGTACCTGCATTGTGCTTGGCCAGATATTTGTCTTTGTATTGTTTCTTCTTCTTTCCAAACCAGGTGCAACTGGCCTGCTGCTCCTGCTTGGTCTTCTCCATTGCTATGCAGGCCACCCGCCTGAAAGCACCACACGCACACAAGCGAGGCTTGTCAAGTTTGACTTTTTCCTGCAGTGAGTCGATAGTTGTGTTCTGCTCACCATTCTTGCAGCTCGGGAGAGGGGATGAGGCCCGCTGTGCCGTTCTTAGTGTTCTCCAGTTTTCCCTGCCACCAGTTGTGGTCATCCTTGGAGATTATCTGGATGATGTCACCTACACGGAAGCGGATGCCTGCTTCCTTACAGGGGATGAGGTCGTCTTTCGCCGGATCGTATTCAAACTGAGCTCGTACGTAAATCTGAGGGTAAGAGACAGCGAGATAAAAGTGTGTTACGTGCTGATACGGTGGCAAAAAAAAGACTAACGTCAGCCTACAGCCACGGGAGAATATGACAAACAAAGTTGCCCCAATGTAAAGAGACTGCTTGCCACATTATTCTGTTTGGGCCATTTAATGGTAAGGTCAAGAGCACATAAGTTGATGCAGGAAACCTCACAGATGAACAGATAAGCAAAGCAAAAGAAATGACTCAAACTGATTTTTTTTTTTTTTTTCGAGGGTGTTTTCAGTTTACCAATGCCCACTGACAAGTGTATGAAGAATAAGCTGATAAAGCCAACATGAACATCTGTGTCACACTCCAATGAGGCGTCAGACTTTGCATTGTGGGATGGGAGGAGTTGGGATCTACTTCTACTAAGGGTCCACTTAGATACATCTTACCTTGATGGACAATTTGTCCTTGATAGCAGGTCTGGAGATCTATGGAGTTGAGAGCATCACACACACACATACAGATATCATGCAGCAGAAAATGTTGGGGTGAATCAACAGGGAGGGTGATGAGGTCCGATAATCAGGTGCTAACTCTTAACTTCGATTTAAGAGCAGTGGTCTTAAATCGGAGAAGCTGCGACGATTCCTGACGAGTGATCCAAACGATCAGAAACTCAGACGTTGGCCACCAGACTAGTACATGTTTTCCATTTTGAAAAACAAGATAAATAGCTACAAAAATAATTTGGAGCCTTTTACGCTTACACTATTTTTACTTTTCCTATGATTTATTCCAAACTGCATAACAGAAAAGATACACGTTACAGCATTGGCTAGCCCCTTATTCTACAGACTAAGAGCAGTCTGTCACTGCTCAGATGCACCTCACAAAACTATTTCAATTAAATCCAAATACCCGTTCGCCCTGTCGTAGGCAATAAGGCATCCCGCTGGATAAATACTTGATGGAAACCAGACAGAATGAGAAATGAAGGAGTGCGTCTTCATACACACATGCATGTAGCAACCTGAGAGGCACGAGGAGGAACCGATGACCGAGTGCATTTGTGAAAAGAATAAGCAAGTCTCACCTGCCGGCCTTTGGGCTGGATCGTCGATGGCAGGTCCTGAGGGGAAAACACACTCCCGTCATTATCTTTTTCGTGAAACGTCTTTGCATATTCCAAAGTGAACAAAACGACCGTATCAAAAATGGTGTACTGTTATCCTATCGTGCGGCGGTCTGTGTGAAAATGAGGGGAGCGCAGACGTACCAGGATGGAGCTAGTGACACTGGCATGACCGTTTGCAGGTGACTGTCGAGACACATCTGGAGACTCTTTCTGCAAAAGATCGTTCAGAGTGATCAGTATATTCCTCCGTGGCATGGGGGGAAAAAAAGCATCATTGTATGCGTCAGCGATGCCATACATACCTCACAGGACATTGACTGGGACCGGTAACTGGGTACAATCTTGAAAGTAATGCTACCTCGCATCTCCCTCTGTGAGATTAAAAGAATGTTATTTAACAAGTGAGGCCCAATCTTTAAACTACACTAAGACCACTGCAGACCTCTAAGGTACAACTTTTAGAGTGAGTCTGAATTGTATCACCTACCAACATCTTCTGGAGCTGTTCGACCGTCTGATTAGCAACACTGATGCCATTAATCTCTCGGATCTCATCTCCAACGTGCAGCGTCCCTGAAGGGATTAAATTATGAATTAATGAGGGATACAAATGGGGTAAAAAGGGTTTTTAAAAAATTAAATTAAATTTAAAAAGAAAACACCCCCAGCTGGAGTCCAAGTAAAGTAAGGAGTCCCTCCAGTAAAGGAGAACATTCATGAAAGTTATTTAAAATGATTCTCAATCAAATGGCATTTTCCAAACTAAATACACACTTTATCCAGTTTTCATTTAAATACCGTACCTTGTCGATGAATCATCCCCCCATGCATGATGCGGGCCACGATACAGTGGTTCAGGTCGTTCATCTTAAGAGTGATGCCCTATGAGAGTTATTACATTAATTAATTCATATTACTGAAACCTTGCAGCTATCTGTGCAATCGCTGATGTAAACAGTAATGTGAAGTAATGCGATTGGTGGGAAGATCAGGCACTTGCAGGTTATCGCGTCTTAAAGGACAGTCTAAATATAAAAACCTGACATAATCACTCACATGAGCCTGTGAACAGCTATGCCTGATCATCTGCGGTATACATGATGTCTGAAATTTGACTTTTGTGGATGGAGCACAACAATTTCACAATTAGTTCCTGGTTTGGGCCCCTTCTTATCAAAAACAACATACATCTGGCTTTTGAGTGCCAAGGAAAAATGTCAAATAAGCCTGCACCAAATGACTAAACAGACGTCCATTACAACACATCGTTCAGGCGCACGTTACATCTCAAAGAGGCTGAGAGAGTGGGCGCAGCTCAGTTTGTCTTGAAGAAAAACTCACAGTTGGTCATCATAACATTTTAGAAGGTATGACTGGACTAAAACAGGTTACGCTGACTGCAGGGCGACTGGGAGCGCCGGGGGCTAAAACGTGTCAACCAAAGGAATAAAATCCTTAAGCGCATCCCTTTTGGTTCTGTTGCTTACCATGGGCTCATCTGTGTTCTTCTGAAACTGGACCAGCCGAACCCTGGTCACATTCTCCAGGTCCATGTCTCCGTTGGTGCTGTCTGGGGAGTCTCCGTTCAGGTATGGTGAAGTGGGTGGCGGGGTCACCCTGAGCGCCTCATCGCTGTACACCTCATGGGCCACCACATCGTGGGTCTGCAGTAGCGCCTGCATGGACGCAGACCGCCATCGCAAATATTAAGATTTATAAACAAGTACCGAGTCCTTTATAGTCCAAGTTGTTTTTAAATTAATTCTGTGTGGATGTCTTTAAAGCAGTTAAATGAGGCTTATTACTGAAATCCAGGCTGATCTCAAAAACAATGGTACTGGCACATCCCGTCGTGTGTCCACAATGCCAGTTTAAAAATAGTATGGCATACAATAATCCTTTTTTGACGTTAATCATGTCACCGAGCTGTCCGAATGATCACATCTGTGCAGAGCGGCAAGCAACGCTGATGCTGTCCGACAGTTGGAATCTGAACAACGGGGACTTTGACCGATGGCGGGCCTAGAAGCTCGGCCGTCAAAAGGGGACGTTTCCAGGCTTCAGACACTGAAACGTTACATAAAAACCCAGCAGGCTGCAAACCTCCCTTAGTTTGCAGGAGTTCCAGAGGTAACTTTATAAAATTCAAATCTACATGTCCTTTGTCTGATGAAAAAACAGTCCAACACTTCAGTCCGAGAACATTTTTAAAAATCATGACACTACACGATGCTGACAAAGTGAAATGACACAAATGACATCCCAGCCTGGCATCCTAAATCATCCAACACTCAGCTACACGCTATAAAAACAGGAATGTCTTAGCAGTAGGCAGCTGGATCAGTGGCTTCTTAACTGAGATTTTCATGGTTTCATCAAACTGGGATGAGTCTGGTATAAATAAATTATTTTGGTGTCTTTAGCGAGCTCCACCCTTCATGCTTCTTTATTCTTTGGAGGTGACACGCCTCCCCGCACGTGCACGGCTAAATCCTTCACACTCATTCTGCTAACAGCGGCGTTAACACCCAGCCAGTCAGGTCAGAGAGCAAAACACACTAATTGGATTGAAGCAAATCCGAGGCGTGACGGCGGCAGTAGGTGCCACACACTGAATCAGCAGAAGGAATCACCTTGTGCCTCTCACTTAGCTAAGTAACGCTGACATCCCCTTACGTTTAGCAGCTGTGCGCAATAACTCAATTAATCAAAAGAATACATCTACGCGGCAACGCGGGAAACACAACTCACTGTACCTTTCCAAGACAAGTATTCCTTCTGTCACTTTTCAGAATCAAACTATCAGCACGTTGTGTCCATTTGCTTGTCCTAGCCTCTACACTTGCGCGATGAACGTGGAGCTCCTGGTGTTTTCAGGAAAAAAGTTGTGTCCGCTCTGTTACAGGCTGGACACCAGGAGCTCCTCCGGCTGCTCTACGGCTCCCGTCTCTGCTGCCTTTCCTTCTGAATGCGACTTCCCTGCCTGGGGGCTCGTCCAGCTCAGGTGCTAAGCAGCTTTGTCTGAGGGAGTTATGTGGATTGTCAAAAGAGCCCTGCTTCTGACACAATGGTTGCACCCACTAAAACCAACAAGAGGGCTCCATATGCCCCTAGATTAAGAACACTTTTTTTAATTCCCCACCATGAAATGTGGCTGTGTGAGGATCCTCCTGAGCTCTTTGGCCTCCATGTTTTCAGGGTAACAGGAGATTGTTTCCAACACCTGGAGAGGAAAAAGAAAAAGGCAAAATGCTCTTTATCTAGACACCATCTCATACCAAACTCAGAATGTGGATCGTCGAGTCTTTTCACCTCCTTAGCTCTTTGGACGCCATCGCTTGGAGGATTTCTAATCTGAGGGGACGACCTGGTGTTGATTTTGTCGTAAAGCTGAAACAACGTAAAACCCAAATCACAGAGAGAGTTACAATTGAATCATTTAAAGGTGTGGCGGAGCCTTGGTTGGTCCTGACATCTACTGGACATATTTGGTATTACAGGGGAACGTTTCACAATACTGTGGCCGACTCACATCCAACAGGGTGTGGAGGTGCTGATCTTGGAAGACGCTGTGCAGGAAGTCCATGTCTTTCTCACTGCAGTCTGTCAACGCATGAATCTCCTCCAAGCTATCCAAAACCTGTGACACTGCCCCTGTACACACATACGTTTAAAAGTTGAAAAAAGTACGACTCGCATCTCTTCAAAAACACTCACAATTACGTCGAGCAATCCCCACAAGCATTCAGTGCTCAAAAAATAAATTAATTTAAAAAAATTAAAAGACATACATCGAACGTGAGACGGACAAACTAAAACACAAACACAAGACTGACACATCTACAAAAAGGCAAACAAGTTAACACCGTAAAACAGACAATCACACATAAAAAGGCCAAAAATGAGTCACAACACAAAACACGCACAAAAAAAAAACTACTTAACCCCAAGTACCTGCTGCATCGCCCACACATGCAGCAAAATCAAAGAAACAGCAGTACATGGCGTCAATACAACGTCAGAGGAAAGTCACATTAGAAGGTTAGAGTGTAGATGGGTTATGGACGGTACACCCAGGGAAAAAGATACAGAAATATACGGTAAAACAGGTCCTAAAAATGAGCTCGATAAATGCTAAACACTAAAGTGTTTTGGCAAAACATTTGTTGCCTCCAGGCAATGCTGAGACCCTGTGAGGTCAAAGTACATTTCCTTTCTCTGTGGTCGAAATTGCACAGCCATCTAAAAATGTAATGCAGTCACACTTTATAACTCCTAAGATGGTTCTTAGTTTTCACGCAAAGGGGTTGTAGATGAAATCAATGGACATTTCCTAAAGACTCCAAAGCTAAACAAGCCAAGGTTTCAATAATTTGAAATTCTGAAATGAAATCTTTCACTAAATTCCACATTTTAATTAATTAAAAAAAAGAGGTTCTGCTTTATGGACCACAACTTTTCCAAGTGTACATTTAAACTGATGACAAGAAAAAGATACAATTTTTGGAATTTGTGGTGGGTCAACATTGAGCATGAACACATACGCCTTGCAAAACTGTTACCGTGGGGCATCAGAGATCAAAAAGTGGAGAGAACATGCTTATTAAGGTGGCAGTAACAACCGGAAATCCCTTCAATGTGTCTGTTTACATGCATTATGCTATTATAATGTGAGATACTAATGATTGTTACTACACTGATAAAAAGTGTGACGGGCACAATTTCAAAATCAGAGTTAATAAGGAAATAACTACGCAGAATTCGCACAACTGGACATGGTTAAAAGACTGACAGCTTACTTTGTTTTGAGCCGGAATATTAATGTGACATCGAGTCACCTGTTACATTGTGTATCCCTACAGAATTTAGAGTGACCAGTGATTTGCAGGATGTTGTTTGTTCCACTTAAGAACAGTTCCAACAGAGACCTGATTATGATAGAAAATCCCATTGTTTGTCAGGACACAAAAGCTGGGACACGTCTTATCCTCTTTGCTTCTATTAGCTTGGAAGATGAGCAAAAGCAAAAACAATCAATACGTCTTTGTTAATCTAGCTTCCACAGCTTCCTCTATGAAAATGCATGTAAACAGAAAATCTTCTTTACAGGTCAAAGGGGAGGCATTTGGAACAAATGCAAACACATCAAATCAAGTTGGATTTCTCAAAAGGGAGATAGGAGAGAAGACAGGGGGAGACACAGAGGGATGGAGGATTAGTACTCGCATCATTTAATTACTTGAAAAAAATTGCAGCTACAAAGCAAGTGATGTCATGATGATATCACACATCACAAATCTATGGCCGGGGAGGTGGATACGTACTTTCGGCGGCTAGCAGTCCTACAGGCAGCAGAGCAAAAGAAAAACACCACAAGAGATAGAAAGGTTGAGATTAAAGAAGGTCTGCAGCAAATGTAGTTTCACATCTTCCAGTGAGTTCCACAAGGAGGAAAAAAGGAGGGAACAAAAAGCAGAGGGGAAGTAATATGAAAATGTAAAAGGGCTGAGAGGAAGAAAATATCAGTAAGAAAGGACGGGAAGAGCAGCAGCAGAGAAAAGCAGCCAAATCTGTGAACTATCTGCCAAACTACTGCAGTGATATGTGGCACGTAAGTCAACGACAGACAACACGTCTGCCCTGCAACTGTAAAAATATATATACAGAGCATGGGGAGGCGGGCCCGTTCAGTCAGACACTGAAGACTGCGTTTTATCTGGCTGCGGCAGCTGATATCGCTTACTAACATGTTACATGCAGGACACAATGGGTTTCCAGTGTTGACAAGTACTGCCTGAGACCTCTTACCTCAGGAAACGAAAGTCTGAAGCCGTGACAGGGAAGTGAAGCTGTGAAGCAACATCTGTCTTTATTTAAATAGGGGAAGTTCTACATAGACAGTTGCTCTTACAATTTTGGAAGCTGGATGCCCCAACTTTTTTATTTATTTGGTTTGGTTGCAATTTTGCTCTGGGAGGAACTAATGACTAACCTATCGGGAATTAATTAGTATCTGTATTAACCAGATAACAATTGAAAGTCACAACATATACAAAAAATATAATAAATAAATAAATAAAAAAAAATTAAAAAAAGAAAGTCACAACATATGCTCCCACATCAGGTAAGAACCGCAGGTGAAACTTACCTGAGGAGGTTGGGTCATCTGAGAAATCATGGAGCTCCTCGGGAGGATCGCCATAGTAGGAATTAAACTTGTGGCTGGAAACAGCAGCCAGCACTGCACCCTGAGACACAAAGGAAGGATATCACTGTTACATTTGCCTCCTTGTATCCCAAAACAACTACGGGGCTGTAATTGAACTTAATTTGGCTGAGCCGACCTTCAGTTTCCTCCTGGCGTTGAACTTGCGCAGCTGCTCCACTGTCTCAGGCAGGTGGATCTTGTAGGCGTACCTGTCTCTTTCCTACAATGATTCAAATCAGATGCACAAATGTGAACACACACAGAAACGGTTAATAAATCTGTCATTACACACATGTGATAGCAGAGCCATGGTCCCAGGCAGACAGAAGCGCGTGAACCCATGGCTCTGTTTGTTTTGTAAATATAAGTGAGGCTCTGTTCGTTTGAGTCGGCTACGCTGAAAGCGACGTGTGCGAGTGCTCCTGCCTTCAGCCAGGGGTGGTTCAGGGCCTCGTAGACTGTGATTCTCTCAGCGGGGTCCAGCATCAACATACGCCTCACCAGATCCTTGGCGCTCTCTGAGATGTGGGCCCACTGGCGTGGGTTCATCTGTTGAGCATACACGTTCAGCAGACATGGAAAACTGGCATTAACAAAGGCTTAAGTTATTTTAATAATGCAAACAAATGGAAAATAGAGAGGGTCAATAACTGTTTAGTTTCAGCTGAAGGAATTAGCTCTGATGCGATGTTCGCTCAGTCGGTCCTACCTTGTACCTCCCCTTAATAATAGCCTCAAACAAGCGCTCCTTGGTGCCATAGAAAGGCAGGCAGCCAGAGAGAAGTATGAAGAGGATGACTCCGCAACCCCAAACATCCACAGGTTTCCCGTATGGTTCCCTCTTGACTACCTCTGGGGCCATGAAATGAGGAGTGCCCACTCGCCCTAAAGAAAGAAACACCAATAAGAGAGGACATTGCTGGAATCCCAGAGGGGGGATGAAAAGAAGGAATCACTGGAAAAAGATCTTGAATAAAGAAATCAAGCTTCTCTTACTGTCTATTTCAGAGTTAATCTCACACTTCAATCCAAGAATATATGCAAAAAAGTCTTTGCGTCAACTGACAACCAAAAATTCAGTCAATTGTATTCAGAATAAGACTTGCAATTCAGATTTTTCTTTCTTTACGTTCAAACAAAAGTTCAAAGCTTGTCCAAAAAACTGCTCAAAATAAAAAGATTCCTAACCCAGTCATTATGCCAAACCACAACATGAGCATTAACCTTTGCACAGACATGCAGATGGTGCAGTTGCAGCACATCTGTCTGCTGTATTCAAAAGGCAGGAACACATGCAACCGTAATGTTCTGAACACACAAAGTATAGAACAGACTTACACACCTTCACACAAAAAATTAAAAGAATTTCAGCTTTGTCTTTTTTTAGTTCTGCAGGAAATCGAAATATTTAATAGGATCATGCCTGACATTCAACCACCTTAGATCAGAGTTTCAGTCATCTTTAAAGGGTAAAGCATGACACACTTCTTTTGCAACTTAACGCTTTGAAACATACAGAACCCTTTCAAATGGCGTAAGAAGGAGAGATACCGCAGGTCCTTCTTCCCTAATGCCGTTAGGATATTTAACACCTGCAATGCCTGATCCGTCATGTTGGCCTCAGCAGTCAGTTGGTAAATTGGTGTTCATTGTAATATCTTTAGTATTTTAATAACTATATAATACAGTAATAACTCTCCCTTGTAAATTACCTTTATTTGATTACATTGAAAATCATCTTTATATCCTCCCCACTGTGGGATCAATATAGTATTCTATTCTACTCTAAAACATGTATTCATGGTAGAAATAAATATCAGGGTGCCATTATATTTTGAACCTAAAGCATTCAGCTGGAAGAATATTGAGCCTGAATGAAACAATGGGCATCATATACAGTGTTAAACAAAACAGTGTACACTTCGTGACTCGGCAGTTTGTATTGCATTAGGAGTAGATGGCTTAAAGACTCAATATGATGTTATGTAGAAAAAAAAACATAAATAAGAGACCCATTCAAAAATGGACGTGAACAAGCTATGGCTGTTCAGGGTAGACTTTTAGACGACGGGTTGTCCGATTGATGCTGACACAAACACACTTCCTTATGCTTGGAACCACAGAAATACTTTCATATCCGCTGTGTGACTGATCTTTTCTGCCTCTGTGCACTCTTATTTAAACTATTTGATATCAACTACAGGCGAGGGACAGGCTCAGCCTGATGCCATTCGTTCAAGAACACCGCTGCCTCTAAAAGATTCCGATTAGTGATTTTCTTCTGAGTAGCTTATTGTCAGGTTGATGCCAACCTGTAATGTTGTATCTGCACTGCAAGTCACTTGGGATAAAAGCTTCTGCTAAATGCAGAAAGACAAATATTAAAGAGCTAAAGAAATCCAACGCTGGTTTAGAGAGGAAGCAGCAGGTGAGCACAGCGGATGGGAAAGGAGGAGAAACTCACTGATGTGTGATAAGAGGACGCAACACCTCATCTGCCCCATCAAGCTGCCTTCAATGACCTAAAGCAGTTCTTGGTAAATGTTTTCGATGAGTTTCGACAGGCTTTCAATACATATGAATAAAAGTCACAGCACAGGGTTCCTCTGTTTGGACTTGGTGTTATGGCAAAGCAAAACACAGCAAAGTTGGATCATTTGGGCTGGTTTAATTAATAAGACGCCATTTGTCTGACAAGCTACAGTTTAGCTGATGGTGGTCCCAAACACCAGAAGATAACGGGAGACCCCGCCAATCTCAATTCACTGAAACTGTGTTAGTAAGAGGAGAGGCTAAAATTTCCTCCAAAATGAGGCAAAAGAAAATGTGATGTCATTGTATGAACATCAATCAAATTAAAGTTCTCAAAATTGAAAATGATCAAAGTTGTTCATCACGTGGCAGCTTTAGTTTTCTCGTACGCTGCTTCTGCATTTTGGTTTAGTGATCATCAAATAAATAGTGACATCGTGCAGTGTCAAATGTCTGACGTTTCTTGCTCCAATTTCAGAACCTGCTTTAGACCAGATGCTTTTTTCTTTCATCAAGACTTGATACATTAAGCCTTAGAAGTTAGAGAGAGACTATGTTGCTCCTTTTCATCTAAATGTTCAAGATGACAGCTGAATATCAACAGTGTGTAAACATGGGAGTGTTTGTACCTCCAGCAACTAAACCAGACTCTCCCAGCTGAATTGCCACTCCAAATCCTCCCAGCTTCACTGGGGCAGAGTTCTCCTTTGAGGCCAGAAGCACACAGTGAGGCTAGAGAAAAGTAAAGAGAGAAATGTCAGGCAGTCTTTTTAATGGGGGCACATCCCTGAAAACAGATTAGTCTTCTGGGAAAGGTGCTACAGACAACTAGCAGACTTGTATCAATAGCACTGTGTAAATCTCTTATTTACAAAAGTGCATGGTTTTATATGCTCAATTCCTGGTACGTGCCCCTCTGTTTCAATTTTTCAATTCAATTTCAGTTTCATTGTGATGCTGACAGACAGGAAATATTCAGCACTTGGGATTTAGTGAGAAAATGCAGGAAAATGTGCATTAAAGGAGACGCATAAACAACCAAATTCACTTTTTTCACCTCTTTTTTCCAGATAAAGTGAAAGGAAAAGTTATGGAAACATGTAATCATGAAAGAGGTGTGAGATGTGTGTGTGGATTTGGGAAATGGTTAGCATTTTTTGCCTGGGGTGGAGATATTCAATTTACTCTAGAGTAGCAACAAATGGCTCATAACACAGACACAAATTACAACATCGCTTCAAGTGTTTCCCTCCCTGGGCTGAGTCAGCAGTCCTGCTCACTCTGGTCATTTAAGATGGGGCAGACAGCAGGGTTTTTTTTTTTCTTTTTTGAGGAGGGCAAGGGGACACAAAATGCACAAAATGCCCCAAAATACAAAAATATGGACAAAAGGGCAACTCCCATAATTATTTCCACCATACCTCTAGAAACTTACACGTTCTGAAAATATTGCATGTCTGCAGACAATAAAAGTGAAAAAGTGAGATGAGATGCATGACAGACACTGAAAAACATGGTGAGCGAGTGGTGGGTTCACTTCCTCTTCATTTTTGTACTTCTCGTAACCGGGGACCAAAGGGAGTGGAGGAGGTTAACTGAAACGATGCAAGATAAGAACTGCAGCACAGGGCTGAGAGAAAAGAGGCAGCGACACACTCCACAGCCAAACCTGTGAGAGGGTTGAGGCAAAGGAGAAGCTCTTTGATAGAGAGAAGGCAAGAACTGAGGGGAAAAAGTCAAGTGAGCAAAAAACAAATCGAAGAATAACGCTGAGGGGAGCACCGGGGAAAAAAAGAAAAAGAAAGAGGTGACAAAGACGAAGCAGCTGCACAAGTGACTCATTCAAAGGCTGCAGAGAAAAGGTGAAGACTGAAAATGGGTTCAGGAACGGGGCATTCGTTTTAAAATATATGCAACTAAAATTTCTTTCATATGACAGTTTTTTTTTTTTTAGATACTCTACTTTCCGAAATAAGAAGTCTGATGGAGGAAACTACACACGGGGGCACTGCACTCTCACGTCTCTGCACACAGTGTAGCACATCTAAACCACAGCTGCTCTGAGTCTTCAGTGGGGGGAATGCTGATGGTGAGTTTTCTGCTATCCTTCAAACATCTGCGTGGCGTAGTCGCTACTACTTTGTTCGCTTGTTTCAAATCAGAATTTGCATTTACATTTGGTTTCTTCTTCTGATTTATTTTCTGTGGGGCACTGTCTCTTTTCCATATTTGCTTTTTTCCATTTGCTTGAGATTTGATGATGTCTGACCTTTAAAACTGCAGGTTACATATTACTTACTTCCTGTGAATTAGTCAGAAAATACTTAACTGTGGTTTGAAGGCAACTCTGCCCTTCTGGGCTTCTTAAGGTCCGATTGTTCTCATATTCATTAAGGCCACATCACCTCTCTTTTTATTCCTCTTTTGCAGAGCTCAAATCATCAAACATCAGCCACGATGATGTCCACCGTTTCTTCCATCCCGATTCCTTCTGCCTCCGGATCTTTCAACCATTCCCTCTCCTTTTCCACTTCACCCCTCTCCGTTTCCACGTCATCCCTCATTTGGACCACTGCAGTCGCTACTTCCACCTCGCTGACTGACTCCTCAAACATGAGCGAGTGTACAATTGATGACTCAGCCCTCCGACTGCCATTAGCAGTCATATATTCTCTGATCTTCGTTTTTGGGCTCGTGAGCAACCTGTTTGCCCTTTGGGTCTTCATTTTCCTTCACTCAGGGCACAACTCAGTGAGCGTGTTTCTCATCAACTGTGCTGTGGCAGATCTGGTCTTCCTTGCGTGCCTGCCCTTCAGGATCTTCTACCATTTCAACAAGAACCAATGGGTACTGGGAGCTGTCACCTGCAAGATTGTGGGAAATTTATTTTACATGAACATGTACATCAGTATTACGTTACTGGGTCTCATCAGCCTGGACAGATTCTTAAGGCTGAGAGGGAAAGGCCGAGCACGAAGAGGAATGAGGTTGAGGCTCTGGGGGCACCGACAGGCGTGGAGCTGGATAGTGTGTGGTGTTCTGTGGATCTTCTCGTTGGTCATGTTGGTGCCCATGATCGCCACACCAGAGGACGAAGAAATAAGCACCCAGTGCTTCCAGTACAAGCAGCGGAAAAGGGTCCAGACCAAGGCCTACTTCAACGCAGTGCTGGTGCTGCTCTTCTGGCTGGTCTTCATCATACTCATGATCTCCTATGCCAAGATTGCCTCCCGTCTGCTGCGAGCGTCGCGAGACAAGCCCGACCTTCCCAACGCGCACAAATACGAGCGGACAGCAAAGAAGTCCTTCTTTGTTCTGTTTCTGTTCACCGTCTGCTTTGGGCCCTACCACGCCTTTCGCCCCTTCTACATCTACACCCAACTAAACGACGTCAAATCATGTCACTACTTGTACCTGGTGCACAGCATCAATGAGGTCATGCTATTATTCTCGGCCTTCAACAGCTGTTTGGACCCCGTCATGTACTTTCTGTTATCCGGGTCTGTGCGCAAAACTGCTCTCCGAGCACTGGGACACCAGCTGGGAAACAGGTTTCCATTCCTGGTGGATGCGACATCTTTAAGCTCTATAGCAGAGAGCAGACGGCCGTCTATGCCAATGGTTTTACCCAGCTCTGCTCTCAACACGCCTTCCCTTACTCCCAGAACGAGTATTTGTGTCATGAACTCCACTCTACGCCGCACGACTATAGTTCCATCTACTGGCAGACAGTGATGACACGGATGTTCACTGCATGTTAAGTCAGCAAGTAATATTTCTTACTCTGCAAAATTTTTTTGAAAAAACTATTTGTACTTTTAAAAATTTAAACACAATTTGTCATTTTTTAAATATCAGCAATCTCACTGAGTTTGCTGCACTAACTTGGAGTTTAATGGCATGAGTGAGTCATTTTTTTTCTATCATGCCAATTTAAATTTAAAACATGTTTACCAAATATTTTGCAAAGCTATTTGAATAAACTGAATTAAAGCTTCTTATGGGTGACAAAAGTGCACTAAAATGCAGAATTGCAAATGTTTTCCTATCCAGCAAAGGAGGTGAAAAAAGCTGATTGTATTTAGATAGTATGCACAGTTCACTCTATAGCACAATCTAGGCTTTGTCAAAAAAATTTAATTCCCTTGCACGAGTAGAATTCTCTGGTACTTTGGTTTCCACGTGTGGTTTTTCGTAGGCCACCAGGGGAAAAAGCTCACCTTTACATCACGGTGAATCACATTGTTGTCGTGGCAGTATCGAAGTGCCTCCAAAATCTGTCTCATATAGTGACTAGAAGGACAGGAAGCACAGAGACGAGCAGGAATTCAGTTGAAGCATCGTTCATCTCAGACTCAACACTTCTTCGACTGCGTGTCCTACCTTGCCACAGCTTCGCTGTAGACAAACCCAGCATCAGCTCTCTTCACAATTTCAAAACACAGGTCAGCTCCATCCATGCTGAGGGAGAACAAGCAATAAATCATGACTCGTTTCAAAAGTTTTAAATAATTATAAATTAAAGCCAATAAAAAAAAAAAAAAAAACAGCATTTCATCACACACTTAAGGCAGAGGGCATGAAACTCCACCCATCAAAAAACAACAGTATGAAACAGTGTTATCTGCATTAACTTTGCTGTGAAGTAGTTTAACAGCCCTTTTTTACAAAGTGTCAGCAATGGGTGTGGAAACGGCATGGGAAATACCAGCCGCTCATCAAACCAATGTGTGTTTTTTGCATACGATGCTTTTAACACAGAAACTATAGCAGAAAATATTAGAAAAAAATGGTGCTGATGAGCTTTGATGCGACAGCTAAAAATCTGTTTCCTGCCATAAAAGACACTGACTAATAACCTTTGGGTGTTTGTGTGCAGTTTTGACTTACAACTCAAACACCATGTAAAGCATGCCATCCGAGCTGTAGGTCTCCAGCAGCTCCACGATGTGGGGGTGTTTCAGCATGTGGCAGATACTGGCCTCTCGCTTCAGATCTGGAAGACAGGACACAAAGACACGGTTCCCATCCAAAATTAGAGTTTCACACCAGCATAATTATCATAAGTTGTGAATAAAGGTGTTGGTTCTCACATTCAAGGCAAGAAGAGGCAAAGCTGACGCAGAGATCTGAAATCCTAATTCAACAGCACATATGGACCAACACTGAAGAAATTCTCTCAAGACTGAGACAAACTTCGAGTGAAAACTAAAGAGGGGTAGCTAAAAGCAGCATAAAGCCTAAACACTTCTGAGAAAGGGATGATAATTGAAAAATGAACTCAAACACAGACTGAGCAGGTGGTTTTGAACAGCCTTAATACCTGCCTTCAACATGTTCATTTATTTCTATCTTCACTGGAGAGCAGAAGGGATTGTGAATGAAATGCAAATAACCAAATATGGTTAGTAGTTATCTTAAACTATTTCATACCTCACAGGAAGTGGATTAAGAGAAAAATCAACACATGAAAAGCGATAAACCAACCTCCTCCTTTCACACCTCAACAGACCTGCTACATCCCCAGTTCAACACCAGAGGGGATAAGAGCAACTCATTCAGAGAGAGGGACCCCCTCTCTCTGAGGGGGGAATGCGTTTTCAAACATTTGCCAGATGGATGAACAAAATGACCACGTACGTCACACCAGATGTCGGAACACTATAAAAAGAATCAATTAAACTGCAAATCTGGTTTGCTCTCATCCTTATCTCTGGTCAGTGTAGCTAAATCAAAATGATTCTGCACATACAATTACATCATCACCCCGGGGTAATCCTTTGTTTCAACTGCACCATTGAACAGCCAACATATTCCCGAGATAACTGTACAACCTCTCCGTGGCAGTCTTAGCCACCGTGGGTGCCTCGACAGACTGTCCAGGACAGTGTTTTGGGTTTAGTCCTTTACTTCCAGCGCGCACACACACGCAACGTTTTCCTCAGCCGGTTCATGGATGGATCCTGCTCATTCATCCCGGGGCCAGCAAGCTACCGTTCTCAACCAGGGGAGAGTGATTAGCCACCTGATCACCTCCCCTCCTGCAGCGGAGCGCCACGGCCCCTCCACACTCTCTCTCTCTTTAAAGACAAGAAAATCTACAATGCTGAAGAGATCAGCAAACAGCTGGCCAGAAGCTGTTCAGACAAACAGTTCCACAAACTGACAATGAGCTCTTGTTGAGCCCCTCAGTCCATAAAAACCTCATTTCCACACTCCAGTCCCTGAGTGCACGTCTGCTGGTGGCTGTGTGTGTCGTGACAGACCAGTATCATTATGCAACAGAGAAATGATGCCGGGTCCACACTACAGAGCCCCCATTCTCCTGTCCCTCTGCTTCCATTATTTCTCTCCTCTACACTCTCATCCTCAGCCGTCTCATTGAATATCTGTTCTTGAATGCAACAATGCTGCCCAGTGTCCACACGGCAGCGAGGAGACCACTCACACAGGCCTGGAACACTCTGAAGAAGCCCAGTGCCATTTTCTGGGCCAATTCCAAATCAATTCCTACACAGAGGCTCAGGCCACACTGTGGTGTTGTGCTAAATCATTTCACTTTCAATATTAGCTTGTTTTTTTCTTCCTGAACTGATAAGCAGACAATGTACTTGCTTAAAGGCATTTTTGTAACTCAAAGAGACAAAATTGCAGTGCGTGTTCCTCAGAAAGACTTCATCTGATCAGCTTTAATGATGACAGAGCATGGCTGAATCCATCGTTTTTCAATGCTGCAAATACACAGCAGCTCTCATTTTACATTTAACACCCACCCCCCCTTTGAATTTGATCATCTAACTCTCGGTGAAAAAAATTGAACCTAAAAGTGAGTTATTGCTCCGCGTGCAGCAGCTCACCTGATTTTCACTCACTTTTACACAGATGCGGGCTCTTTCTTGACGTATGTGGTCTGAGAAAACACGCTCTGAATCATGGCTGTACTATTTTTCCGTCTTCCCCATCGTTCTCAATATAAATCCAATTTTTTATTGTGACTTTAAAAGGTCTGATGAAAGCCACTTTTTATAACATCATGATTTCAGCGTCCACATAAATACATTAGACAGGACAAGCCTACAGTTAGGCTTCAAAAGTAAATGAAAGAAATGGCTTAAAATAAATTCCGAGTGGATAGTAGTGAATTGACAATAGTCAATTGACAAAAATGTATTCGCTGTCTGATGCAAAAGTGACACATTAAAATACACGATGATGAATAGGAATTCAGTATAGTGATAAAAAGGATGAGGTTTCCTTTGGGCAAATTATCGTGTAGATAAAACTGGCAAGCTCAGCATAGAGTTAGCCAGCTAGCCCTTGTGCTGGTTCAGGCGCCCCTTATGAGAGATTTTCTGTAAAAACTGCCCTGACACACACACATGGTTGACCACTGAATGGAAAATTCTTTTATGCGACACAAGAGATTAGCAACTCCTCGTGTAGGTGTTCTATGCTTCCACTTGAATAAATTTAGCAACAAAATGAGGCTATGTATTCTGGTTTGTAAAGCATTTTTATAACTTTTTTTTTTCCATTTCGCCTCCTCTGGGTCATTTCCTTGTCTTGCTGTTATTGGCTGCCAAATAAATCTCTGACTGGGACATCACAGATGGCATTTGGTGGATGCCAACGCCACCACCAACAAACACCTATGATCTTCTGCCTCTCGCACGCAGACCTCAGCAGGACAAAGCGCAAAACCACATGGTGACACAAGGCACACATGAATGCCTCACATTGTACAAATTTAACACCACAACCTACAGTAACCACACAAAAAGACAGCAAACGTAGTTCCAACACATAACCCATCTGGGAGCAGTGTGTGCATGACATTATGCTTTATCCATTTATGTGTGACAATATGATTATGCTCTCTGTGTGCGCCTTCGTGTTTGATGTCTGAGCCAAACAGCATCTGCAGATTATTCCCTTTGTTTTAGTCCACATGGAAAATCAGGTGGGTTGAGTTTGTATAACGGCACAGAAAAGGAAGTTAGTTTAAAAGGGACAGAAAGCATCCCTTAAAACTACTCTCTGCAGAGGTGAAACTGGCACCCCCCCCCCCCAAATAAAATGGATGGAAAACACTCAGCAGATGCAGTCCAACCCAGGTTTGCCGTGTTGCTCACCTTCTGTGCTCAGGCCGGGGCTGGAGGTGAAGCTGGCAACATCCACAATCTTTACAGCAAACTGCTGGCCCGTGTCCCTGTTGATGCAGCGCCGCACCACGCTGAAGGGCCCCCTGTAACACACACACACAGTGAGCCACAAAAACACACACTCACGTTGTACAGAGAACCACATTTCTAACATTAAGACACCAGAATAACCCTCAGTTCAGTTGGTACTTCAAGCACAAGTGTACACATAATCACGGAGACACGCCCGCTGAGAATATTCCCGTTTTGAGAATATTCTGGGTTTACAGTGGGTGGTTCACTCCACTCGGTTGCCTCCTTGTGCCAGCAGGAATTAGAGCTGTGTGGTGCAGCACAGCTGTAAAACCTAGAGGAAAAAAACTATTTTCTTTTTTTTAAGACATTTACGAGCTTGATCTAGCCAACAGTTTCTTTCTAAAAGTTTTTTTTCGGTGCGGCTGCGCTGGTGTTAATACTGAAATGTGAGAGCTGTAGGTACCATTTCCTGACCCGTTTCCAACAGGCTCATTAAAGATGAAGACAGCGATGCCGGTTTTGGGATTTCAAAACCAGATCTGTGGCATAATAAACAATTACTGTTAACTGCTTTGCTCAAATAGACACTTTTTTATTGTGTCAAGAACAGGAAGTTTGCGGGAAGCAGTAAACACCCTCACACTCAAAGCAACGTGGCCACAGGCTGTTACCTCCAAACCTGTTTTAAAGTTGTTATAATTGGGTTATAGTTACTCACTTTAGCATTGTATGCTATCACATAATCCTAGTAAATGAGTGATTGCCTTATTCCTTTTAGAACTCTACTCTTGTGTTAAACTCTCTGGGTGTGCCCACACATTCTCCTTCTCCCTCTGTTACAGTAGATACACGTCTTCACATCAACATTTACATCCCAGTGAAATCTGCATGAATTAGAAGCTGGCCTGTTGGTGTCAGAGCTAACTGGCCAATAACACTCGGTTGCGTCCAGTCTTCCTACTGTACGGAGCAGGCCCAGCCCAGAAGATAGAGGTCCATCACAACCAGATTTCAGGGCTCTTGCGACTGAGATCTTCAGGGAGTTTTGTCAATTAGATTTACTTTACCTGTAACCAAATTCATTTCATATTTGAACTGCTCTCTGGTTTTTTTGTCAGGCTTCCAAAAAACGAATCAGGCTAACAAAGTGTTGATGTGAGTGCTGGCCTAAAAGTTGTAACTCATCAAGAACAAGCTAGGTCAAATGAGTTCTCCAAATTTAATTTCATTAATCTATTCATTTCTGATTAGCTGGGCTCTAACTTTGATAGCCCATCTGATTCAGGGATTGTTTATCCAATCATCTGGAGAATACACATTTCAAACAATGCTCACATTCAACAACGGCCAGTCGCGCTTGCCTTTGTGATCCAGCCATCAGTGCTCCAACAATGAACCTTCATTAAAAACCATTTCCGTATTTTTCTCCTCCCATCACAAACAGAATCCAAAGTGAGAGGAGCTGCTTGAACACACACCACAGATGCACCGTGCAGTGCACTGCAACTGCCCCGTGTTGATTTTTTCCTGTCTTTGTATTGCAACAAAAAGTGAAATGTTCTGCTGTTACAACTAGATCTTATATGTGGTTATTCTTTGTTGAGGTCGCCGCTGCTCTCTGCAGAAGAATGAGCTCTGAAAGCGGGGCCTGTAACACCCTTTGGTCTCCTCGCTAACTGTGAGCTGCAGACGTTCACCTCCTCCTGTGCTCCAGCTAGTTTCACTTTTCCAGCGTTTACAGTCCTTTAAAGTGGAACGCACCCCGCTGCAAACACGCGGGAGCACAGCACTCCCACATTAAGCAATCCTAACTCACTCAAGCAAAGCGATGACCACTGGCAGACACTGCTGAAGTGAATAAAAAGAATTCATTAACTAATCAACTTGCAGAACAGAGCCAGCGGACTGGACTGGAGAGTTAGTGCTGGAGCTGCAGCTGATTGGCTCTCACTCGTCTCCCGGGTGTGCTGTTAAGGCTGCTCCTACAAACAGGCAGGCAGCGTGTGCACACTCTGTGCCAGGGACACTGTAAAACAATACAGTTCCCTTCAGATTCCAAAGGATTCCAGTGGATGATCTGACAGCCTCATGGCCTTTGCCCTCCCGGGTATGCGTGCTGGCTGTAGCAGCTGCGTTTACCCACCGTTCAGAGCCGTGCTTCCCAGTACGGGACGGGGTCTCGCTCAGCTCTGGGCTGCGTCTGGATATCAAAGACCTGGTCGGTCAAAACCAGCAACCCAAAGGACACAAATAATTCAGATGGGGTACGGAAATATTGGCACTAATTTTGTGTTTTTCTATGCGTGTCTTTATCGCCTCATTAAGAAGTGAGGCTGGGTTGGATGAGCCTCCCAAATTTCTTGCATCAACCTCATCTCTTACCTCAGCTGTCAAACCATTGGAGCATCATGGGGAATCTTTTCCTGAACTGGGCGGCTTTATTCTTACGATGTGCAGCCAGACAACAGGAGTTGGAGCTGCTAGCAAATAAATAAACATCTCTTCTCATCATCTCGTAACCATATAGGAAAAATACCCATTTAGAGTGGCAGATTATCTTTACGACTGCGTTTAAACCAAGCTAGAGGGAACAAGCAGAACAACTCTCACTTTTGACAGACCGTCAGGACTTTGATGCTTAAACCTGGTTTAGGATTTGTTTAGACTGGGGTAAAACTTTCAGTCCATGTTTCAAGTTGGTGAGGGGCTTGGGTATGTTTTATATAAACAAATGTCTTCACAGATAGAAGCACAGACGTGTGCATAAGTGTGATTATGAGGAGGCCACATGCCGTGCTGACATCAGTGCAGCTGTGCTGAGTGGGCTCACACAAAACGCCCACACACGGCTCACATCCGACAGCAGCAGTCATCAAACATTAGCCTGAAGTGGCAGCCTTCACAGACTGCTCCTTGGCTTATTGTAGCTTTCTGATTTATGTAAATCAAAGACTACGTCATTGTTTTAACATCAATGCCTTCCATAAGCCACAAATCGATCAAACAAAGTAAGACATAAAATGTGAATGTGTGCCTTTTAAAAAAACTATTACTTGAGCATTCCTGCAGATAGATCTTAGAATCAATGTTTTTCCTGTAGACTGAGCTGAAGAGAAAAGCTTTTAATTAAACAAGTTCAACAAAGTTCAGTGCGGTTCCATTACAGTCTGAGTAACAATAATCCAAAGTGTTACTGAAGCAATTTAGAGGTACAACCCTGTGAATATTCAAAGGGAAATTAGAATTCACATTGCAAACAGTATTTACAGCAGAGATATCGGTTGAGGTTTTAAAGCTTTAGAAGAAAATCCTTTTGACAATAGCAAGAAGTGAATACAGAACAGTGGAGTCCATGTGGAATCTGGCCTTCTCTTCAGAGGGAAAGCCTTAACTCTACACTTTTCATTCACAACTATTGATCGGCTGAGTGTGGGGAGCTAAAAAGAGCATCAATTGAGCAGTGAAAGGAAACTTTTTAAAGCTGGGACGGAGCTGCACCCATACAGCAAAACCACAACAACAAACAATGGGAAAATCATTCAAACAAAACTTACTGGCCCATATTGAAAAGATTACAGAAGTTATGAGTTATTTCCCCTAAAAAGATTGTAAACAAACTCCCTCTGTGACTCCTGTTAACTCAGGCTGAACTACACATTCACAGAATGGGCCAAAGTGTGCTGCTGTCAGAGAGGTGCAGGGCATTTATCGGGGAAGACAACACAGGATAATTGATCCTACTTACTTTTTAAAATAATCAGACAGTACTCCCTGACAGTAACAAAAAGGGAAACTCTGTGTGATACCTACTGAACACCACTGCCTCACTTTTGAGGTCAGAGAACCTTGGCGTGTGGATTTTCTTTCTAGATAAAAGAGCAGAGACTGCTCTTTTATCTAGTGAGACTAAAGACTGCAGAGTGACGCTTTATTGGGTCTCTCTTGAAATGAATCCCACCCTCTGGAACATTTGATGACATTGGACGTAAACAGCAACACAGAGGTGACTGCAGCTACAGACGACTGCCGGCTCCTTTTCGGTTCTCAGTACGATGGGAACTGCATGCCGACAGAAACCCATCATTGTGAAAATTATGAAATCAACTAATTCACTAATCAAAGAGATCTGAATTTCTGTATTATGAAAGCATGGCATCCTGGTCTGAGAAATATTAGACCATTCTTACAAAATGGAGAAATGTTTTCTATATGGAACAACCTCTCCAGCAAAGGATTGTCTCATACTGTGTTTGAGTTGTGTCTAATGGGATATGTCAGGGATTCAACACCAGAAATCAGCCCTGTAGGTTGTTAAACGTAGATTAGATTTGATATGACTCAGTAGAACACTAATTTGAAACATTTGAAAAATCCTACATAAATACCTAAACTGCCATTACAGCCAAAAAGGTATACTGTACTATATGTTTCTTGTAGAAAATCAATTAATTATCTGTAAAGTAGTCCACACTATCATTTACCAAGAAAAACTAAACTTGTAACCATGCACAGGTTTTCTTGAGGGCAATGGAAATTTACATATCAAAACGCTGACCAATAAACATAATTATCCAAGTCAGAATAAGCCAGAGGACTGATCAGTTCATTGGCTTCCAGTGAGTCATATAGTGCAGTATTGTTGGTTGTAATGAGCACCCCAGGATAGAAATAAAGAGCTCAAAGACTCCAAAAGTACTTCTCAACAGCCCAAGTCCCAATCAAACAGAATCATTACAGACAGAACTGATTAAATTACCTCTGTGCTCTTCCAGCACTCCAGTCGAAATCCCAAAAATGGCATGTGGCTTATGCATTACAGCCATCCCTTATGTAAACTACAAACCACGTGAAGCTATTAAATGCCGAGCAGTTGACATCTACTCATCTCTGACCAGTTATTTCATTAGAAGATGAGCTAATAGGGGCTTATTTCAGTCTTTATCAAGAGAAATGTGCTTAACAAGATGAAAACAAATGAAAAATGTAACATACAGTATAAGGTATTGCTTGTGTTTGACCTTCATTGCAATGCCACACAGCCCTCCCAGTTACCAAGTACATATAAACCCTGGCAGTGTACCTGACCTGCTGTGGAATCCAGCATATTTTATTGTGCTTCTGCTTTTAGTTCTGAAACCTGCAAAGCTCTCATTGCTGCAATAAAACCAAGAGCACATCGTTTTTGTCAAAACTGAGAAGAATTGAGGGTTATGAGACATGTCCACACTGAAAGTTGTGTGTAAATTCACACAGAACCATAAACCTAGAGAAGCACACGTTACTTCTAAGATACATGGAGAAATTCTATTTAAAAGTTATTTTAAAAAGAAGGAGAAAAGAAAGGGAGCAAGCTTACGGTCTCCTGGCAGCCATCACTTTGAACATGGTGATCTGCTTTAAGAAGAGGTGATTATTGGGCAGTTATGGTGTCCCCAGTGTTCTAAATCCCATCCAGTCAGGCAGCTCTTCACTGACACAAGCCGATCAGGGACAATAATAGACAACTTCTCTGAACAATAATAGAAGTGTGAAGGAGGGGAAGGCTGGATAAAAGGGCTTATGTACAAGTTTGAATGGGGCTGAGATCAAAGGTCAGCAAGAGACGAAAGCGTATAACAGCAAACATATCCATTCAGTAAGAAAAATCCCCACTAAACATTTGGTTCAGAAAGAAAAAGGTTGCAGTTACCACATTGTCAGAAAGGATTAGGCAGTTTCCCTTACCCCTAATTACAGTATTTTTCATGTACTGTGTATGGAAAGTTATCAGTTATCAGAGTTATCAGATCACTTTCAGGACATTTTGGGGATTGGATTCATCTGACAAAATGGCCTGTCTTTTGTAGCGGCACAAGGCAAAAGGGATCAATATCCTCATTTCGTAATAATGCGGTTTAGCTTTAAAATGAAAATGTTTGTTTTTTTTAAACGGCAGCCTCTGCCCGTCACGCTGCCCGCTACCTACAGAGATGTCTATAATAAAACACCAGGTTAAAAACAAGGCAGAGTGCTGCAGTCAGTGACTCCTGGCTTTATTTATATCCTTAGCCTCAGGGCCATCACATTCCCAACTCCACTTGTCTCCATTGATCTACCTCATCCTTCTCTTCTTTCCTCCAGGCTGAAGAAAAATGACCCCCCCCCCTTTCCACAACACATCCCACAACACCAGGACAGAACACTAAGGAAGTGACTGGATTTGGAAGATTTTCAAGCTTAAAAATGCTCTATAGAACCCTGCTCCTTCCCTTCTACTGACTGCTAAGACTGACCACACCTGCACAGCCAAGCCAACTTCAGACCGCAGACTGTACGGATAGATTACCCTCCCTACAAACTAAAAGACCTATTCACCTGTACATCACCGTTTCATCATTCTTAAATTATCTTTGCTGAAAGTTATTTTTTTGAAGAAAAAAAAAGAAGAAAAAAAAACACATTCACCATTTGTTCACAGAAAACAATTGCTTTTCCATAAACTTAAACAAATATAAACTTTTCCCACCCCTATTCTGCATTTACAATCCCTTTTCATTTGATTTGTGAAAAAAAGAAAAAAGGAAAATGTTTAGTTTGCAACATTTCCTCATTACCTTTCACCAGCGGCACCTCGTATCCGTTACGGGAGCCCAAGTTAGCAGACCTGGACTAAACATCAATTAGTAACCAAGGCAACTGGGACTCTCAGGATAAAGAACAGGGCCTGAGGGTTGGGAGAAAGCATCTCTTTCCTTCGACTAACTTAATGGACCCTCAGACCTGCAGTGAGGGAAGCTTGGGGGGGAGGGGGAGGGGACAGGCTGGTAACTCAGGCCTGTGCTTCCTCCCGCTTAAGTTCCAGGAGGATTCAAAGAGCCCCGTCTGCTTCACGCAAAAGAAACGTGCATCCACAGGTAAACTTCAGCTGTCACAGAACATGGAGCTTTTGCACAGTAACTGTTATTGGTTTGTTTCAAACAGGCTAATGGCTTGGGCTGATACATGCAACATATATCACTAAAGCACACCAGTTTTTTTGCTTTGTATTACAAAAACATTTTAAACCGTGTTCCCCTCTCAGGTAGATTGACCAACTCTACAAAACTAAATAAAATATCAGGTAGGATCCTGACACCACAAACTGAAGTCTTAGGCTGGCTTCAGGAGATTACCATGGTCCAGTCAATAGAAATGAAAAGTGGCTGGAGTCTTAGTATTATCTGTGTGAACGCAATGATGCAGCTTTTCCAGCAACACATGCAGCGATACTTGCTTGCCTGCTTAATGTTTCTGATGTTAGGACTTCTTTGTGTCAGTATGTTCGACATGCGAGCCGTTCCATTTTAATCTTCATGCGTTTGTTTAGATTGTAGCATTTTTCTCATTCTACCCAGACAGGCTGCAATGCTCTACAGCCAGTCTCTAGCTCCATGTCCAAGGGGCTCTTAATTCTCAATCTCACACAATCCTGAAATTCCTTCAATAAAAAAATTAATAAATAAAATGCCAGGAGATTGGCCCTTTGATTTTCAAATGCACAAACTGTAATTTTTCCATTTTTTTAAAAACATGTGCAAAGTAGCAAATACTGGTGTTGTCTTTGAACATAAATGTCTATTATAAAAAATCAAATGATCCAAGGTTTTTCAAGGAAAATCCTGCATATTGATTTTAAAAAAGCAACCAGGTGATTAGACGACTTCTCCTCATGCCTTGGTTCAAGGCCTATCAAGCCAACCACAAAAAAATGCATGTGTGTGTGCACCTGCACAGTATAAGATTTTAACAGAATACTTCAAGAAAAAGGACACCAAATGTGACTTTTTAAACTTGTGATGAGACCATTTCTAAGTCTGACTGACGTTAATACTCGAAAGGAACTCGGTATTAAAAGTGGCCAGTTGGACAGAAGGACAGTTTGAAGACAAACATAACCTTACCCACCCACTGGACTTTCCAATGAAAAACCTGACAACCAACACATGTGCATACATAATCCTCATAGCAAAAAGATCTGAGACAAAATGGCACTCTTGAACATGCACTGGCGTCTGTCAATACTTACTTTCCAATAACCTCGCATAACTCGTACACATCCTCGAACAGCACGTCGTCGTCCGCCATGGTCATCCAGGTAATTGAGGATGCTCTCCACGAGAAATCCCACCCTCAAGGGTTTTGAAGTAATCGATGGCAACGTATTCTCTCGTTGAATGGGGTCTTTATTGGATCAGACTATGAATACCTTCCTCTCTATATCAGAGAGGGGAAAAACTGTGGCCACTTAAGACACTAATTTAGCCGGCTAGCCACATTAGCTGTCGAGTAAGGCTGTCAGTGCACGGCCCCACCTTCTCCCGAGCTGCTCTCCTCTCGGGCTGGCTAGCCAGCCAGCTAGCTAAACACTGACCACAGTCCAGACCCCAGGGCGTGGAGATTTCCTCGCTCGTTTGCAGACCCCCCCTCCCTCTTTGCATGCCCCGGGTTTGTATCTTACTGGTGGATATTGCCCCGTACAGAACTCCCTGGGCAGCATCCAAGAGACTCCCCACGCTGACTGAGATGCTCTCCTCTCCGCAGGCTAACGGGATTTTCGAAAACGGTTAGCTAGCTGTCGATGGAATCACCGGCTGGCTCGCGCCGTTAGTGCGCCGCGCACACCCAGTGTACCACGGTGGGTTTATCCCACCGAAAAACGGAACGTGTCCGGCTGCTGTATGCTTCAGCTTCCCGAACCCAAATGGACGACCGTCACGTTCATGTCCACCCCTGCTCAATCGCTCACACCGCCTGTGATTGGGATAATTGAAATGATACCGTGTCTTTACACTGCCGACCCTCGTCCGCCGTTGCTCTTGTTCTTACGCTGGCTCAGATGCTGGCTGGCTTTGACTGGCTGTCCCTCCGACTTCCAGAAATGCCAGGCTCCTCCCTTTATCGTCCAAGCAACTGGTCTGCTAGGACCCGAAATGGCCATCGACAGTCGGCTCGGATCACTCTAGTAGCGACACTCGAGCCAAAATGGCGCCCGGTCGGGGTACGCTTCAGGCGTAGTTTCCTACTAATCTCCCCAAAGGTTGCATCCAGTGAGTCCCCGCGCAGGCGTCGACCAGCTAAACCTCATCACCTTACGTCAGCCTTTCTCCCTCTACATCACTTAAACATGCTATTTATTCCCACTTGAATTATAGCCTCTGTCAGTGATAGTTCATTCCCCACATATTGACTGCCAGCTATAAAAATAATCGGATGCATCCAATACGCATCATAAAAAGGGCTATGGGCTCCTTTCAGGGACTGTGACATTCCCACAAAACCTCAGAATGGTTTACAGTCATTCTTGCAACCAGGCGTTTTCCCCACAATATAGTACGGCTGATATTTAAACATATGCACAGGTGTGCATAAATAGAGTAGGCTTCCCCCTTAAGGATTGTGTGTTATCATTAAGCTTTATGTTGGTTAAAAATGTAGCGTTTCGGTTTTAAAAAAGGGATTATAATTTTGGGTTTATCAGCAATTTCGGCCAGCCAACTTTGTGACGGCACAGGGGTAAAGATGCAGGTGGGATTTCTTCGGGTGAGGCAGGATAAAGCAGAGATGAGCCGGTGACGCCCCCTACAGGTGATGGCAACAAATGCTCCTGTCCTCCTGCTCCATCCCAGAATAAGAATTGTATCACAATTTGGCAAAACCTACTGAATTAAAAAGAAAGAGAGAGAAAAAAGTATTTATCCAAATGCAATTAGAACAATGAAGGTATCAATAATGTACAAACGCTTTATACAAATACCAAATTAATTATGATGATATTAACAATAATCCTAATAATTTAAATCCTCCATATGTTTCGTAATATACTATTCTGCATTCTCGGATAGAAATAATGCCCACGTTTTTTTGAGTAAGTGAGTTTTTCACCACTTTCACAATGATTTTGACATAATTTCACAGGCCATTCAATGTTTTAACAAATGGTCAAATTTGGGGGATTAAAATAAAATTCTCCACAGTTTAAAGTATGAGTAAACTGAATAATTTCCAAGAAAATTACAACAAAAGATGAGCAACTCAAACACGAAGCTGAAATAAAATTTAAAAAAAGGCCACTAGAGGGCGCTGATGCTGAATTTGCCCTCTGCGGTTTCGATGGTGCTGCACCCCCCTCTCCTCACACACCATCCGCAAGCTTATTCCATTGGCTTAAACACACCAGCTGCAACTGATCATCCTATTGGCTGTTGATGTGGTCATCACTCTGTCTGCTATTGAGCAGGTCCTCATTCAATTCATGGTCATTTTGAAACCATACAAATGTGCACACATGCATGCAAGCTCACAAAAAAAATGTGGCTTAGCAGCTGTGAACCTCGAAACAATAAATCCAGACAGTGTACAAAACGAAAATAGCAAGTAAAAAAGATGATAGCACTGAGAGCATTACCATTCATGGACTGGAAAAAAAAGAGGACTGTTTCCATGGTAACATGGAGGGGAACTTTTGAAGCTGGCAGCTGGTGAAATATGTACTCACGCCAATGCACATACACTCACACAGAAGAGGGTTTCATAGACTTAAATCTATGGCCTTAAGACTAATTCTGACTTCTCACCTAACCCTTCATTTCAGTGTTACTAAAAAAGCTAATATTACTATTTATTCACACTAGAATTTTAAGACACTTTGGTATCCCCCAAAATACTCTAAATCAAGGGATTTTAGTACTGAAAGGAGTAATAATATTTTTCATCCAAAGCTGTTGAAAGCAGGCGGGAAAACTTATTGCTCAAGGTTGTTATTCTTGACTTTGGATTGACAACCAACTGGAGTGCATATATAGAGCAAGTGCCTTATAAATGGTTGTCAGATTGTATTCATGTTACAACCATTTAACATATATTGTTTTGCTTGAGAAAAAAAAAAGCCATTTTATTAAGAGGTATCTTCAATATAATTGCAGGTGAGAACAATTCCATATTAAATTTTGTATCAGGGTAATTTAGGTTTAAAATTTTTCTAACAAAATCTACAAATACTTAAGTCACATTTAAGCAACAGATCCCCACGCTAATTTTCCTTGCTTTTAAAAAGATTTCTGAAACAAATTATTAAAAAGAATAATGGTTATATATACAAAACAAACAGACTCAGGGATAGCTTCTTCCCCAAAGCTGTCACCTTACTCAATCAACATCCAGACTAGTACTAGTACTAGTACTCCAGTTGCACTAATGTATTGTATATGTATATGTTATTTATGTGTCCACTTTACGGAGCTGCTCTCCAAATCTCATTGTACTGTGTACAATGACAATAAAGGCTTTCAATTCAATTCAATAATATAGAATCAGAATTAGAAATCGCTTCATTGACCAAATGTACAGAGTACACAGGAATTGGATCGGGTATCCCAGCGCAACAGAACAGTTTAAACAACAAATTTGAAAAAATACAAATCAGTTCTATCAAATATTTGCAGTGTAAATATCCCGTGACAGAAAATAAAAATATCTATACGTATATATATATACTGTACATACAATAACAAGCCCATCCACCCCCTCCCAAAAATAAACTGACTTCCGGCAACGGTCATTGTGATTGGCTGATATTACCGCGCAGACTCATGGGAAAGCGCGATGTTCAAATTTGTTTCCGGATTTTTGTTTTCTGTTTTTTTAATCCTTTGCTTCGATCCGTTCGAAAGACATGGAGAGGGCGCATACCAGGTAAAATAACAACATATCACATAATTTCATTGCACATTTCTAGTTTTCTGCTTTTATGTTTTTGCAACGCCAAACACATTCTTTCTATCCGCTGCGCATCAAGGTTCGTGTAGCCCAAATAGTTATTCCGTTATAATGTGAAGACTGGCAAGCCGAGTTGCAGTCAGTAATTGGCGAATTTAATGTTTTGTGCTTTTTTTTGACGTGATAAAGTAGAGTCAAGCTAGTCAAGATATTTCTAGATGTCTTATAAACAAAAGATAGATTAAACATTAATATGAACATTTCATATGTTTAACTTTTTTATTTTCTCATTCCAACAATTGTATATTAGTACAATGAATCAGAAAATTTGGACTAGCTTGGTGAAGAGGTTCTACAACCAGCCATTGTAAAAATGGATTGATCTTATGTTTCTCTATGACTGAGGGGTGTAGTGGAAGAGCACGTACAGTGTGAGGACAGTGATTTATTTTAGTTATAGCTTCTTAACTAAACCGTGGCTTTGTGGAAATGCTGATGTCTAATTTGGTAAAGTGTGCATGTAAAGATGATGGAAAAGCATTATGTTTACATTGTGGTGAGGTAGGGGGATTCAGTGCTATCAGAAATGTCCATGTCTTGTATCAACTCTATCCTAAACAAGTGTAGCAAACCTCAGAGATTACTAATGTTATGATCTGTGTCTCTGTTATCCAGTGTGACGAGGACTCCTCTCACAAGCGTTGTAGTTCAGCGGAGGAGCAAAAGCAGGAGTTATCGGCTTTCCTACCGCAGCTGCCTAGGTGCTGCTTCGAGGCTCGGCCTAACTCCCGCGTTGACCGCTCGGAGGCTCAACACCAGCAGAAAGGCTCCGAGGTCACACAATATAAAGGTTAGGATCCACTTCCTGCCCCGCCCCGCCCCAAGCTCACAAGATACGTTATCAAGAGAGAATGAATGATTTTTGTTCATATTCTGTCCCTAAAGGAGAAAGTGACTCCGGAGCACCTGGCTTTGCTGGTGAAAACAGAGTGGCAGCTTTTCTACGTTACTCCTCTATACCAGTTCAGACACACACAGCTAAAGAGCTACGCCAGACAGCTGTCTGCGTTTATTGCAGCAGAGAGGCAGCAAGGTCTGGCAGTGGAGGTGGGGGGACCACAGAACAGCTTCAAAGTCTCCTTGTCTGTGGTCCAGGGGATGACGGAGGCAGACGCTGATGCAGAGACTGTTCTGATTCAGGTATGGACATAAGCCCAAGGAGACAGATGGCTTCTTTTATTGGCACCAGCCATGTTGCATGTTTCTACATGTGCCTTCAGTGTTTTTGCTTTCTCTATCCTAACACAGATCCATTCAAAGCCGTTGTTTGCAAGCCAGGATGAGCCAAAGAAGTCAGTCTGGAGCGGCTTGCTAACCTGCATAAATGGAAACCCAGAATACCTGCAGTCACTTCCCAAAGACTTCACCTGTCTGCCGCTCTTTGGCAGCAGAGGGGTCGAAAATCTGTCCTCGTTGGTCAAATCCTGGTTTCAGAGGACATTCGACTGCTCCTTTGCCCCTCTGGAAATCAGCCATACCAGTTTACAGTGGTTTGCAGCTTTATGGACTAATTGTCACACAGAGTCCGACATCCAGCATCTGAAAATGCTTTGGACTCTCCCAGTTGTGCCACCGCTTCAAGTAACCTACACCGTTAACCCCCACGATGCCTGGGAGCTGTGGAGCAGCGTGAGAAACCCCTCACAGAAGAAGGGGGACGGAGCAGAGGAGGCAGACTGTATTGACTTTGAGGAGGTGATGAGGTTCATGCAGGGGCTCAAAAGTCACTTTTACAGACACTTTAGGCTGGACTTGTCAGCAGGGGCCCTGGATCAGGTGTCCACAGCCCTGGGATCCGCAAAGTCAAGTGGCAAAATTAAGGTACTGTGTATATATCTATTTTCGTGATTTTTCACCAGAATATTACTTAAAGTGGATTCAAATTTGCCTAATTTAATTTCAGATGTCCAGTAGCAGATACGTGACCGCCATCCTGACCCTGCTGACCGAATGTGCCCTTCTCAAAATGCCCATATGAGCATGGCAGCATGGACAATTTCCAGCAACCAAACCATCTCCTTGCAAATGCATTCAACTCCTCAAAAATATTGAACTTTTTTCATATGCAAATGTTCTGAACAAAATGACCGTACGTGTCTTTAACAAAGAAAACTACAGGATAATAAAACTAAAAATTCAATATCCAAGGTGTGCCACATGCTCTGGTCCCACCCCATTCTGTAAATGCTTATGTATTCATATTTCAATCGTTTGTTTTTTTTATGTGTAGTTGTAAATAAAAGTTTTAAAAAAGTCTGTATAAAATTATGTAGGACATGGTTGCAATTAATTGTTTTACATTTCTTGTTGAGTATTTTGGTGGGTTTTTACTTGAGCGTTGTATGAATGTTCCTTTTATAATCTTTTTCTTATGGTAAATTGTATTAACAGATCTCAAATCTTTCGTTAATGAGCAAATGCAACAAAAATATCCTTGTTTTAATTTATTTTTTTACTGTCACAGAAAACAAATCCAGGCAACTTTGCTCCAAAAGAGCCACAAACCAAATGTATACAGCTCAAACACGGTTATCAAAACAACGTTAAATAGAAAGAAATGGTAAAAAAATAATAATAATATCCGAGTTTAACACATGACAAACTATAACTGAGTTCAAAGTTGTATTTGAAGAGCATATTGCACTGCCGGAACAAGGCATAAACAGTGTGACACGTGATCAACAGAACTGAATTTGTGATGTGGGTCATTAAAAGAATGAAGCACGACTCAGCTGCCCTGCTGTTTTGTTGCTGCTACACAGACACTAAAATACATTAGTAATAGGGAGAGCTCATGACTCATAAGCACTGCTCCATTATGCTCTTTAATGACCAGAGTAGTGTTTTAATTCGTGCATTGCCTGTCATTTTGGCAATGAGGGTGCATCACATGGTTGTTCTACCTTTAAAGACCATTGTGGAGATGTCGGGGTAAAAGGTTTACTTCCATACTGTATCATCTGTAGAGCAGAGATGATTTCATTTCATAATTAACCTTGTCACGTGTATCTATTAAGGCTCCTGTTGTGAAAGCAAAAGCATTTTCCTGTTCAACTGTCAGCATGACAAACCTTTAGATCAAGTGCTGTTAGCTTCATCTGTCTAAACATTAATGAGATGGGCTGGCAGTAACCCCCATTCATCATGTTTTATCATATCAATCCTTCAGCGCACATTGGAAATAAATTAGGATTATATTTATTATTCATATTTACAATGGTGCCTGCAGATGCTTCAAGTCTGCATTCAGAATCCACCAAATAAACTGCGAGCCCAGAGAAATATGAGCCGGTTCGCGACTGACATTTTCAGCAGCGTGGAATAAGATTCACAAAGGGTCCCATAAGGAGAATTCTTCACAGTAAAGTCAAACTTCCCCAAATTTCTATTGAACAAACAAATGCAAACTGTAAATCGTGCAGATGATTCCAAACAAGAGTTATTATAAAGGGGGTCGCTTGCACATCTAATAAGTCACAACAGATCATGCTTAAATGTTCAACAGAACCCTCCCCTGAGCGATGAGTCAATAGACGCATGGGGTAAAGAGGTAAACAGTGGAGAGCAAAGTGAGCGATGTTGTGATGAGATCAAAGTCAAATGAAAGCTGCAGCTTTAGGATGCCAATCCAAGGAAGAAGCCACCGACGAATCCGCTGGACAGGACGATGTTCCGCTTTATAAAATCTGTGGCCTGAGTGGGAGGACGTGTCGGGAAATAAAAAAAAAAAACAATCCAGATCAGAAAATGTGAGATTATTCCCATCACCACAAAACATTTTTCACTGGTTTCACCATTTTCTGAGCCTGCTGTCGCTTCTACTGGATGCATAACACCAGAGGGTGCTGCTGAGTTGTAGATGAGGAAATTACTACCATTACTGCAACTATCAGCAACCAGTGTACACACATTAATTTACTTTTTGACAACCCCTTAATGACATTGGGTATGAGCAAGCTATCTAAAAATATCAGATTTCATTCAAGCAAGTCTCATTTTAAAATATGCAGAGGCGTAAAAATAAAGAGCAAGCGCTGCCACAGGTACCTTTACCTCCTCAATGAATGTGTTTATTTCAGGGGCTGCTTTGTTTGCTTTCTTCTTCAGGTGCTTTTTTGCTTTGTTCACATCCTTTTCCACCTTTTTCCAGTCCACTTGCACGTAGCCGCTGTGATTGGCAATCTGCAGGAACAAGTCGTGCTGACAGTGAATTGTGCGTAGTTTATTTAGAATGCATAAAGCTTTCACGAATTATGCAAGTATAACATGACTAAATGTGTAAACCCTGTGAAAAAATGCCGCGGTGTGCTTTAATTTACCAGTAGGATTAAGTTAGGATTGCTTTTAAAGACACTAAATAATGGCCCAATAAGTGTGCAGATGGCTCTTGTGCGCCTAGCGCCAGCTCGGACACAATGCTCGCCATTCTGCTGTGGAGAGAGGACCAGCTGAGCCGCACGCCGTGCAGCTGGCATCTCCACTTCTCAATGAGGCTGACCGACTCTGAATCTGCAGCCATATTTGATTGAGGCTCCATCAGGCATACAGTGTTCTGATGCTTGTACCTGTAACAGAAGGAACCCTCCTCCAACCGCAGTAGCTGCCACCTTCCCAACCCTCTGGAAGAGGTAGCCAGCACACCTGGACATGTGCAGACAAAGGACACACTAGTCAAAGTCTGACATATGCAGATAAAAATATTCAGATTGTATCAAATAATTTGCACATAAAAAAAAAAAGAGGAGCAAATTCTGGGGGGCATTTCCGTTACATACTGAATACAGTAAACACAGTTCAACAGCGGTGAAGCTGTGCTTGGAACACGTTTCCAAAATCTATAACTCCAACCAAATAAAAAAAGTGTCAGGATAAATGTTACAGCTAGTCTTTTAGGGAGATGTCAGATGTTCTGAGTAAAAAAATCCAGCCCTTTGGGGTGTTTTCTTTAATTGTTTCTGGTCTTGCTTAGAGTACTACGAGTTTTCAGTCAAGATTTCTGATGCCTCTGTTGAAAATGCTTTTTTAACCATATAATGCATCCCAATTTTTTATAAGATATAACTAAATATGCATTTTCAAGTAAGGATAATGTCCTAGAAGCGAATGATATAAAAACCATTCTTATAAACATAGATATATATACGGTTCTTATCACATGAAATTGAAAATCACTTGACTGCTGGTGCTGCCTGGAATTATATCATTTTCTTTCATACAGGACAATCTGGTGTTTCCAGTGCAGAGGGGTGGTCCTAAATGAAGCACTTCTTTAGCATTTTCAGATTTTCACAAGTTTTTCTGGCTTAAATTTTTCTCATTTGTGATTTTTACAAGGCTAAAATAGTGTTATTGTTTTTTATGCTATTTTGAAACATCACAATGTGGGGATGTTTATAAATAAATCAAATTCAATATACAATCTACATCCTACTACACAGTGAAGAAGCTTCTGCAGTCTTTACCATCCAGTCACCCCACCCATCATGAGTTGAGTAGCCACGGAATACTTCTCAGCAATCGGGCCGGAGTTGTTGCCAAACACTCGGCTCCACCACTGGTGTCTCCGGGCGTACTCTGTCAGATCCACCACCTCATACACCTCATCTTCGCTTTCCGGGTCGTCCTGACCTGTAAATGACATCAAACGGCTCAGTAACCGGCAGCGCAGCCTTCAGTGTCTTAAACACAACCTGGAACCCTTCAAAGTGGCCATGTCGCCCCGTCTGAGGCCTTTCACTTTAAAATAAGTGAGCTGGAAAGCTAATATTAGCTGGCTACTGTCAAATGGCTCCCACTCCGTTAATACGGTTAATTAAGCCTTTCAGAGCTCAACGAGCATATGAAAACATAGCCCGGATCCCGGTTTCAATATTGCTGGTGACAGACTTTAAATAAAAAGTGGGTTAGTGAAAACGAAAGTGCCGTATTTCCACCACCCACAATAACTAACCTTCTCTCTGGTCCACCGTCGCCATTTTGGGGTACGAGTTATGTCATCAGGATGTTGACAATGCTAAGCCACGCCCACACGATGATGCTCTGCCACGTCAATTTAATATTTCTCTGATCTTTCTTGATAAGGTTTAACAATTTGTCATGTTATGGGCAGAAAACTTTTTTTTTCATGCTTTGAGAAAGAGATATTACAATTAGCTTAAGAAAGTTTCAAATTTGAGTGAAAGGCTCGGGCAGGTCTACTGCAGGCATTTACATTATTCACTTTCGTTGCAACAAGAAAAAACAGAAGTGATCATATTAAAATGTATGAGATTGAATGCATGTTGATATTTGATATGTGGACACTGTGACATTTATCAGGCAAACAAGGGTCTTGAGAGAGTACTCGAGACAAGTTTGGATAATCAATAATTGAAGTACTTTAGTAATAATTGTTGGATATGTGTTGAGTGATTTGCAGGAATAAAATCAATATATTTAAGATAAAAAAGAAAGAACTAGCAGGGAAGTCATATGGTGGGAGATGGGCGCTCCAATTGGTCCAAGAGGGGGGGAGAGGGCGTGGCCAAAGCGGCGCGTGGGTTCGCTTGGGTTTCACAATTATAACAACTTTATCTTCGCGGACGAAACGCATTTTATTGTCAATTTCCCAGATCTTGGATTTTTTATTCAGTTATCTGCATTCAAATAGCAGCATAGTATTACTTTGGAATGAAAAATGTGACGTTTGAGGAGGTACCCGGAGAGCGCTTCTGTCCCCCCCGAAAGGATTTACTATATCGAATCGCATCTTATCATCCTGGGAAAAAGTTTTTGATCATTTTGATTTCTTCATTTTCCTTTCTTTGATTCGGCGGAGCAAACCGTTCGTCCCAGCGTCTCAGTTTTCCATGCAATCGTGCGGTGTGTCTGTCGCCGTTGCTGCCTGCGCTGCTGCCCGGAGTCTCGGCTCGGCTTCTAGTGGTGATGAGGGAAAGAAAATGGCGGCGGGAAAAGCGAGTGAAACAGAGGAGGACTTTCCGACACTGACAGCCCAGGAGAGGGACAGTTTGGCCGAGATCGACAGGTCGGGATTGATACTCCATGCATTCACACATAACATTCTGTTTGTAAATCGATCGTTTTCCTTCCCTGCGTCTTGAATATGTCCCCGAACCTCTCCTCAAGTGATACTGAGCCGCCTATGTTGTCTTCTTGCTCGCAGCTCACTGTTTGGATTTCTGAAGCTTCATGAAGATGGCGCCAGAACGAAGGCCCTGCTGATGAAGGTAGTCAATCTAACTGAGTGTGCTTTACAACCAAGCAGTGTCCCGATTCACTGGACAAACACACGCCCGTGAACAGTTGTGCACGGCAGTGAATTTGCTATCAAAGTAGCACGGCAGGCTGAATGCAAGTGGCCCAGTCTCTACGGAAAGCAAGGCCAGCTAGCCGCAGCCCCTTTAGCCCGTTAGCTGCTCTCAGCCGATTACCAGCGACCCTGCACCTGCGGCTCATACGTCGTGCCATTGGCCCTTATAGCCATCTAACTACAGCTCCATTAGTGTCCCATGCCTGTTTATGTTCCCATGTGTCGAATTTGTGAGGCAACCGCCCTTCCCCGTTAGCAGCAATGCAGTTCCATGCAGCTTATGCTTGTGTACTTGCAACTGTACCAACACAACGTCGTCATAGTTTTGTGCCCTGCAAACCGAGCGCTTTAATGATCAAAGTTTTGTGTCATCGTGACATTTTGTTCCTGCAAGACCTGTTATCTCCCATTTGACCTTAAAGACTCAAATATTTGTATCGATCTATTACCGGTGTTGGGAGTAACGTAAACGTAGTTGGCTGCAGGGTGCAGCTCACCCATTGACTCTACCTGTCGAGGGTTAGCTAGAACCCGCAGCACATGCATGGGTGTAAACTCAACCTCGCTGCGATGGGTTTTGTTTGACATTACCTTTGGTAATTTAACACGTTTCACGGTGATCTGTGGCTATTATTGACGAGCCCGTGGGAACAAACGTTACAAAGTAACGTTAATGGCTGGCTGGCTGTCCAAGATGGCGGGACATGGCGGAGTGACACCGATCCCTATATGTCCAATTTGCTGTTCGTTTACCAACCCAAATCAGTTGTGTGTTATGTAAGCGTGTGCCTGGTTATCGCTTTGTTTTTTATGCTGTGTAAAGAGTGGCCTTTCTCACTGACCTAGGTGGTGTCTGGGTCCTTTGTTTACAGTCGTGGCTCTTCATGTGCTCTCGGACCAAACGTGTTAAACCCTTCAAATCTACCTGTCCCCAACACGACGCCGTGCTGACGAGAAAGAATATTAATTTTGTGATACATTATGTCGGGTGGATACTGTAGAGAATCTGTGCTGCTCATAACTCGTGTTTTTAGGGCATTCAATGAATCTGCTCGCTAGGTGGTGTGGGATACCTACTAGGAAGTGTATCTACTCCTCTACCATGAGATCCAGAGGCAGGAGAAGGCACAAGTTTGCCAGACCATTTCACCAAATCTCGCGAGAAAATCAAGACTCCAGTTTAATGAGAAGCCAAAACAAGCGAAGTAACCATTATGGCGACCGTCCCCATCACATAGTAAAACACAAAATCAGTGTTCTCATATAGAATCCATTTTCTCCCCCAAATTAGACTTGCAATAATGCATTCAAATAATCCCTGAAATTAACATAAACTCTCATGGTTAAGGTATTCAACCTTTGTTTGCCATGATTTACGAGGCTGTTGATGTAGTTATGTTCATTTTGAGTTTCTGCTTGAGTGTTCATCGGTTTACATCAAGAACATTGTGTGGATTTTAATAGAAATTATATAGCTCCTTGTTATACATTTTTCTTGGTTTCTTAAAATTTTAGGCAAAAAGTCATTACAGATTACTGATTTTAAGCAAAGATGAACAAAAATTAAAATTAAGTGATTAAAAAGATACAATAAAAACTTTAAAACTGGAATTTCAATCAATCCAACAGAATCTACATGATGTTCATGCATTTCACATATTCAAAATATGCATACTGATTATTATAATGTCCCTGGCTTTGGGTTGAATCTCATCTTTTAATCCTCTCTTTCTCTCTGTTAGCATTTGCTCCAAATTCTCTACATATTTTCCAGTAAAATTAGAAAGTAAATTAATTGCACAACCATATAAAAAAAGCCCTAAAACTACAGCATGTATTTCAAAGCAGCTTTGGAAGACAGCAAGTCTAAATAGCTGTGAACACCCATGCTTTGCTAATAGGTTATTTGACTGGTAAACCAACCTACTCACCTGACATTGGTTGTACCAGGCCCATGAATGTGTCACAATATCCAAGGCCCTATGACAACATTTGTTTTGCATCCTTAAATAAGTAAACACAGCTCCAATATTTTTCATATGTGATCAGTTGTAGTCAGTTAATGGGAAATTAACAAGCATGCTAAGACTCGCTAAGTATAGAGCACATAAATCCAGCCAGCTGATTTGTTTTCTGCAGTGATTCACTTGGTGAATCCAACACTGGTGAAATGTTAATGAAGGGTGTTGAACACCATTTTCATCACGAGATTGAAGCAAAGTAAACACCAGCCATGCCCAGGAGAATAACACATGGAACATTGATAGGCCTGCTCGTTCATATGGAAATCATGCAGATGTATGTTTGTCCTGTTTTTGTCAACTTTAGAGAACAACACACGTGGGAGTTTTAAACTATGGTTATTTTTTCTTCTGTAAAGATTTGAATCTGTCAATGTACACGCATGTTTTTTTGTATTCCCACCTGAGAGGAGCTGATGATAATCAAATGGCAAATAAACTGTCTCAATTGAGATAGAATTGTATTTATTCACATTAAACTCGTCCATTTTAAATGTGTACAGCTTTGATGACCTCTCTGCCCTAAGTTTGCTATAACCCGGCCTGGTACTCTGCAGTGGTCATTACCCTGCTCTGTTGCTTCATCTGCTTTCAGATAACAGTGGGTTCAACACTGCTGACAGAACTAGGTCACTGTATCATCAGTAGTGACTGGGTTCCAGTGACGTAAGCCAGGAAATAATTAGTCAGACTTTCAAGTTGGATGTCCTCTTCTTTTTACAAGCATGAAAAGAGCAATGATTATTTTGGCTACGCTTTGGATTGAGGTTGAATCTTGAAAACAGGCTGACTGGTGTCTTGTGTATGGGGTTGTCACGTTTTTTTCTTTTCCATGTTTGCACGGTGTTTTCCAACAGGTCAGGGAGATGACTGAAAAGTATGTCGCTCGATATTTTGAGTGTTCTTCAGTTCTTAAACATAAGCGGGAAATGCGCTGTTTTGCAAGAGATGTTGAATAGGCAGTGAGCCCACATGTGGTGGTGCGGTGTCACCTGTGCGCTTTAAAGAATCCTCATTGGTTCTTGGATATTGTGATCTTTCTGGCTGAAAAAAGAGTTTGCCTCCTGTCGCCTTTATTAAATGAAATTAATGACAAGTGCAGACTATTTTAGTATTGTTATGCTGTAGAAATACAGAGCCCATCTGTTCAGTTCTAGCACTGATGCTCAACAAATATAGTCTCAAGCTTCAGAGGATATATCCAAAATGCTCAAAAACTACTGGCCAAATAACTTATCATTTCAGTTCAGCCAAACTTTATAATGAGGCCTTTATCAGATTTTGATGCTGGTGAATTTTTGTCTAGGATTTGGTGATAATTTGAAGTCCAAGCTTGAACTCATAAGTCTGCAATGGCTTTTGAGAACAATGAATTGGGGCTCATGTTTGAGGTGGAGGCTCTTTCATTTTAATTTCCCCCATATGATCGCTTTCTCCCCTTTCATGTTTTTCTTGGCTATAGATATGCAAATTAATTGCACAACTCCTTCTTGGAAATGAGTGTCGGGGAATGTCACGTTGGCGTGTTTTTGCTGGTGCAAACAGAGATATTGACCACATTTCCTTTTTTCCCCTCTTGACAAAGGGTTTATTTGGAGGGCCCGGTTCTGTGGTTTAACTTGATCAGTTTGTTTTTGGAAATGCCACTTTTTTGCACCAGTTTATCCTCTTTGTAGATTGTTCGGTACAAAGTTTTGGCTAATGTGATGAAGGGAGTTGAGAGCAGTCTTGTCTTGCAATATTTTGCATCAATAGAAGCTAATTTAACTCAACACTAGCTGCTATGGAAGTCCATCATGTAGCTTTTGCACTGATGGAACCTTGAAAGAAATATGCCCTGTATTTTCAAACAACAACAAATGAACATGTGTTCAATGGATGAAAAATAGCTTTGCTTGTGCACATCTGTACTGTTATGCAAATTAGCCATGTGGTGATTACCATACCCATGAAGTAACACATGTAGGATCAGACTGAGTCATCCCAACATGGAATGGTAAAATTAACTCTAAGAATAAGGTTTCATGGACTTGTAGAGAGCCCTTTTTTTCTTGATGGATTTCCTCACATAAAACTTAGAAACAGGTTGTTTATTTTAGGTCTACAACCAGATTTAATGAGGGGAAGTTTTGTATGTTTTTTCTTGTCTTTTTAATATAAAATAGCAGAGTGTGCATTTCAGAACAGCAGCATTTCTCAAGGAAAAAAATCCTTTGGTGAAAACAATGTTGAGGAGGAAAGTTGTTCATTTTGTTTACCTGTTACAGGTGGAATGGAGCTGCAGCAAAAGTGAGGAGCCATGAATCTTGTTACAAAGAAAGCCAAATCTTTCATCTGTTGGGGATAAAAAGAGTTTTGGGAGCTAGCCTTTTGTGACCTTGCTCTCTGGATATTTCTCGCTCTCTGGTGCCATGAGAGAGTTTAACCTGGTGTTTTTGTGTTCCCTGCAGGCTGTTCGCTGCTATGATTCACTCATCCTGAAGGCCGAGGGCAAAGTGGAGCCTGAGTTATTCTGCCAGCTTGGCCACTTCAACCTCCTTTTGGAGGATTATCCGAAAGGCAAGCCTTTTATTCTTCACACACCTGTCAGAAGATTCTTGTTTGACCAATTTTGTTTTGACAAAAACTTAACTCTATGAACCCAAAAAATAAGGTCTGTACCTATAAAACAACCCCAGGTTCTTGCTAATGATTTTTTTCTCTTCATTGCAGCATTATCAGCATACCAGAGGTACTACAGTTTACAGTCGGACTACTGGAAGGTAAAACACACACTCGCTCCCTTACTCATATCAGACCTTTGTGTTTGTTGTCCCCTCACAATTACGGTTGCTCATGTTTGGTCTCAGTTAGGGCAGATCTGACGTCTGCTTTCATGTCAGACTTTTTGAGCTAAGATTTTGTGACAACGACCTCCCGGTTTGCATTGATCTGTTTGATTTCCTTTGAACAACCGCGTATCTCTCCATCCCATCCAGAATGCTGCCTTTCTGTATGGCCTCGGAATGGTCTACTTCCACTATAATGCCTTTCAGTGGTAAGTCGGAGCTTTCGATTTTGGGTGAAATCAAGGCCACTTCATGGTCAGAACCCGGTCCATAAAGGAATGCCTTTTCAGCTCACCGATGAGCACAAAAGCTGTGCAAAACAAATCAGCTTTATATCGCATCACGTGGCTTCTGCTAGGCACAGTTGCCAGGCAACTGGCGACGAATCACAGCGGAGATGATTTATTGTAAAACTGAAGCATGTGCTTTTACAGTTGGGTGGATGAGACGAGCTTGTTGCTGTTGTGACGCTGGATTGCTTACTTTTATCCAGGCAAGCGGCACTGCTCCCTTCCATTACGCTAATGTTGACATTTTTGCTGTCAACAGTTGAAAATCTGCTTTTGAAAAAAGGCCTTCCAATGTCGTTTCGATAGTAACAACCCACTCAGAGAGGACTCATTTGGCTGAATTGCACATGAGGACCAGCTGGTTTTCACGTGTTTACAGATGTCAGAAAGGGGGTAAACACAGCTGTTGGAGGGCACCTCCTGTTTCCAGCAAGTTAGCTATTCTTTAAGCAGCTTAGAATAAGAAATCAGCGCTTTAACGTTGCGAATGTCCAATTTGCTTGTATCAGTCCAGATTTCACATTCAACATACACGTGGACTTCAGTTGACTGCAAATTTGACTACATTTAAAACAAATGTTCTTGCTCTTGCAAAATCTAGAGTTAAAGAAATTCGGTGCTGTGCTGCAGTTGGAACGGCACGTGCACCTCCTTCGTATGAAATGGTTCTTCTAGATCTACGGCAGGAAAGGCTGAACGCCAACAGGGTGCATTCTGAGTTCCTGTGGCTGCAGTGTGTTCAGTATTCCGTTCACACATGCAGCCTGACTGGAAAGAGCGCCGGCTGTCTGAGCATCGCTCCATGTTCTGGAGCCTGGGCTTCTTCATGTGTTCCCTGCTGTATTCCTCACAGACCCTTTTGAACGTTCCCACAGGGCAATCAAAGCATTCCAGGAGGTGCTGTACATCGACCCGGGCTTCTCCCGGGCCAAGGAGATCCATCTACGGCTGGGTCTCATGTTCAAAGTCAACACAGACTACGAGTCAAGCCTAAAGGTGCGTCCAACCCAAGAGGGGCTTTACCCCAACAGCCGTTCCAGCAGGGACTGAGCTGCTGCAGGCAGCTGCTGATTACCCAGAGCGGTGTGTGTGTGTGTGTGTGTGTTAGCCTTATTAGTGTGTGTAACGGGTTCTCCCTCTGTTTTCTCGTAGCATTTTCAGCTGGCTTTGATTGACTCCAACCCCTGCACTTTGTCCAAAGCTGAAAGTAAGTACCACCGTCGGGCGGATAATTGCTGTTAAATGGCATTCTTCCGGCCTTCGTTTTCTTTTGTTGTGACTCTTAAAATGGCTCAGTAAAAAACTAGCAAAAAAACAAAGTATCCTAAAACATCAAATAACCTAAAATGTTGGCTACAGTCAGCTGCCTCCCTTCAGTCTGGGTAGTCTTTCGTTTTGTTCTTTAAACGCTGCTTTCATCTCTGCTCCCCCTCCTCACTACCTGTTACCTTGGTGACTGCAATATCCATTTTTGCCCAGCTTCTCTGTTGCTGTTTGCCTTTGCCTCCGTGTCCCCCATCAATCCCGCTCTCACACACACAGTCATACATATCAAGGGCAGCCCCCATCTTCCGCCCCCCTCCTCCCCCTTTCTCTCTACTTTCATTCTCTCTCTCCCTCTCGCTCCCTCCATCTGCTGAGAGTCACTCAGGCAGCTTAGATCAGACACTGCAGTGTTCCAGACAAAGGAAGGTGCCTCCAGGAGCACGGTTACCTATCTGATCTGTTATACTGCGTGCAGACAGGCAACTTTGGCTTTCTGATATCTATTTACTGACAATGCTGCGCTACTTTCTAAAGACTGGGGAGGCCAGTGAGGAGGACCAACTCTGAGACAGGGTGGGAAACCTTTCCTAAATGTTCAGTAACCTCGACCTAACCCCATTTCCTCTCCTCTCCTTTCACAGTTCAGTTCCACATTGCTCATTTGTATGAGATTCAGGTAAGTGATTTTGTTGTGCTTCATCTGAACTTGCCCACAGAGGTACAAGAAAACCAGTGTTTTTCGTCTATTTGGGCAGCATGCTTATTAAGTTGGAATGACGGGGACACAGGCTCGTAAACTGTATCTTTTTTTTCTTTTTTGAAAGAGAAAGAAAAACCCCACGGGGCATCTGAATGCCGGGGATAGCCCTGTTCTTTGTATTTTAAAGTCAGAGCTGATGAATTGAGGAGGGATCGGTGCTCTCGAGTGGGTGGCATGCAGGAGGGGATATGAGATTAGCCGATCGACGTGGTTGCCACGGAAACAGCCAAGTCTGTCTTTCCTTTTTTGTATGCTGGTGGTCTCTCTCTTTATGTGGATTTCAGAGGAGAGGTACAGTAGCTCTTCCCAGCTTAGGGAGCAGCAGCACGTCATGACTATTGTGGTTTGTTGTGCGGCGTCTAAACACAAGTGTCAGGTTTATAACACGGCGCAAATCTCTGGATGCACAAGTGACTAAATATAGAGAGGCAGGGAGGGTTACTCGTAGGCGAAAGTCACGGCTTGAATGTGAATAATTTTGTATCACCACCTCCCATTTCCAGAAGAGATACCGGGCTTCCAAGGAGGCTTATGAGAGCCTTCTGCAGACGGAAGATCTTCCTGCACAGGTGAAGGCCACTACCCTGCAGCAGCTAGGTAAGTTTGGTTATTGGTGGATCTTTTAGGGGATGTTTTTTCTTGTGAAGCTGAGAAGTCTCACCTCTGTGGAATCTGACTCATCCCAGGCTGGATGCATCACACAGTGGAACAGCTTGGGGACAGATCCAGCAGGGACAGCTATGCCATCCAGTGTCTGCAGAAGTCTTTGGAAGCTGACCCCAATTCCGGCCAGTCCTGGTACTTCCTTGGCAGGTATGCTGCACATGCATCACCATTTTAAAATTGACTTCTAAAAACCTTTTTAGAGAGTAGAATAAAACAATTCCTTCTTTTTGGACAAGGAAGTTGCATTTATCATCCCCCCCCCCCATGTCTCCTGCAGGTGCTACTCAAGTATTGGGAAGGTCCAAGATGCCTTCATCTCCTACCGGCAATCCATAGACAAATCAGAGGCCAGTGCAGATACTTGGTGCTCTATAGGGTAAATTTTCATTTAATTTATTGGTAATTTTCTTTTCTCTAGAGAAATGAAGGCTGCATGCAAAGGCTACATGCAAAAAATCCCAAAGTATTCTTTCGACGAGTCATATTGGCAAATAAATTTTTCTTGATCTCCCTTCTTCCTTTTCTTTGCATCTCCCTCTCTTCTTTTCCCGTGCTCATGTCTTCCTCTCTGGCCCCTCCTCACCCCACCCCCTCTGGGCTCTCAGCGTGTTGTACCAGCAGCAGAACCAGCCCATGGACGCCCTGCAGGCGTACATCTGCGCAGTGCAGCTGGACCACAGCCACGCCGCGGCCTGGATGGATCTAGGCACGCTGTACGAGTCCTGCAACCAGCCGCACGACGCCATCAAGTGCTACATCAACGCCACACGCAGCAAAGGCTGCACCAACACCGCCGCGCTAACCCAGCGGATCAAATGTCTCCAGGTGGGTGGAGAGAGGACTCTGAGGCAGGAGGTGACCGCATCTCGGATGGACACAGCTTCAGTTTGGTTTTAAAACGAAACAAAGACACGGAGGGCAATAGATGACAGTTAGAGATCGGTAGCAACAGTTGATCCTCTGGGGACGTGGCTGATTAAAACTGCTGGCTGCTGTTGGTTTTTGCTGAGCTGTGCTTTTTCGCGGTGCATCCCATGGGCAGAAAGTGGTGCCACAGAACCCCGGCAGAGACGGTGCATGTTACTGACCAATTACTAAATGGCTTCTGATGTAATGCAGCAGTGTCTGTGCAGGCTGACAGCCGGCTCCCTCAGTTGTAGCTTTAGTAGCCTTCTTCCTTTCTGAACCCTCCTAACCCTGAATCTCCCATCCTTTTACACAGAAAGGAAAGCATAGGATTCTCCTCTGCTGCCATTTGTTCTTTAACAGCCCTGATAGACTGACATAAATTAACGCAGATGTTATCAGATATTAATGGTCACAGTCTTATACCTAGACGTTCTCTTAGCACCTGATTTGAACGCTCCCTCTGAAGACCGCTCTTTCTGCTTCTTGTTAGTGTAGGAGATGCTGTGCTGATTTGTACACCATATTTCCTCATATTCAGATACTGGGGCAGGCCAAGTTTGGACGAATACAGTTTAAAGTCGTAGTGCTTTTTAGATAAAGGGCCCTGCAACATTAGGGCACGTCTCTGAAGCAGCCCAGAGTATCGGGACAGGCAAAAATAGGTGGATTGTGTTTGGGGAACACGTTTGTTGTCCTCAGACTATTTTACAGCTGTTTTACAGCTGACATTAAGAGCTGAGCTGGGCATGTAAGTTAAGGGTAGAGTGAAAAAACCTCTGCCATCAGCCTGGTTCAGTCAGAGGAAAAGCATGTGAGGAAAAGAAAAGCCCCGCTCAGTGTTTGAGGAAATGTGGTGTATCAGAAGAGGAGAAGCAAACACGCTTCCACCTTTTAGAAATAGGATGCATTGAAGCCAGGGATGGCAGAACCAAGTCGCCATTAGCCACAGAAGTAACCACTTGGGGTTGTAACAGTCCCCATGTCTCATGCATTTATTTACTCATCTCTACTTTTGTCCAAGCAGTGTCCTTTCCCTTTACATGTGCATGAAGGAATGTCACATTTCCACCAGTTACGTTAGCATAAATTCATTGCATTAAGACAAGCCGAGTGGCTTGTGTTAATGGATCTGTGACTGTGTGTGGGAGTAGTGTTGCCAAAATGTCATTCAGGTACCTCCTTGTGTGGTTGACAACACAGAGCAGGTTTACTGGCAAGGCAAAAGTGGCTTGAAGACACACGTTTGCATATCACTGTCAGATGCCAGCTTAGCTTCACTTGTGTTATAACCTCTTACTATATTTACCATTGCTGATCATTTCCTTGTTTTGAGGTCATCAGTTTTATTTTTATTTTTATTTTTTGTTTTTTCACGTCGTTCTCCATTCCCCTAGGCTCAGTTGAGTAACCCCCAGCTCAGTAGCCTACAGGGTAAAAGTAAAATGCTCCCTCTTATTGAGGAGGCATGGAGTCTGCCAATCCCAGCTGAGCTAACCTCCAGGCAGGGAGGCCTGAGCAGTGCACCACAGCAGGTGAGAGACCAGATAGAGCAACTTGCACCTCCCTCCCCCCCCCTCCCTTCCCTCCCTCAGACACATGCTGTAAACACACACGCACACACACACACACACATTGCTAATAATGGGTAACGCTTGAGCTCATCTCAGCCCCCCCTCTCTGCCTGTGTTTGTCTGCTGAAATGAACACCGGTGTCTGAAGAGGTCAATTCAAAATAACTCTGCTACTTTCACATTTGACTTAATCCACCCTGAATGCCATTAGGATGTAAACTCTCACATTTAAACTCTTTGCTGCTTGTGGTGTTGGTTTAAGATGATGAAGGCTCCAGCCAAGCGTTACCCATTGCTGCACCCCCCTCTTTTCTACAGCAGTTCACTCGGCTTCACCCATCACACTCAGCTCAAGCTAAATGGGAAGAAAGAGCTTTAAATCCTCTCCTAATCAATTTCTTCTTCTTTTGCTTTTAATCCCATTTTTAATCCGATGTGGTTTTCAACCCTTTTTGAAGGTGTCTAACTTGTTGAGGCATTTCCATACTGCTGCTACCCTTTTAACGTGTTGCACTTCTGCGTCACATTCTGTGATGTGATGTTTTTCGGCAACCTTTTTTGGCTTTTTGGCCCTGCTCCGTTGTGATTGGTGAGGTCGTGCTGTTGCAGAGAGGCCCTTCCATTCAATTCTCCATCCATCGCCCACTCAGTAGCTGAACGTAGAGGCCCCGCAGCCGCTCACAAAGCCCCAGCACTGTCCTCTAACGTCTTATCACCACTTCATTCTCTCATGCTCATCACACAGTAGATGCCGGTAGCTCTTTTTGTGTGTGATCTTTGTTCGTGCTCTAGCTTCTGTAAATTTGGCCACTTCGAGGAAATGGACGAAGAGATTTCAGTGTGTCAGGTGTGACTGGTGCATCTGCCTTTTTCTGAGCTGGTTTCCTGCAGCGAAACATCAACCAGCTGTTTTTTTTTTTTACTTTTCCACTCTTGAGCAACTTACTTTAAAGAGTGCTGTAAGAACGACCAAGCGAGCAGGCTCTGGTCAGCAGCCACGCCTGCCCAGGCCCTTCTGAAGCAGCCTCGTCAGGGAGCGGCCTCTGCCTTGCATCATCTGACAGTGCCGTGCAGTTTACAAGCGAATTTGGCCACCACGATGACTAAAGTGCTGCAAGTGTGAAAAGCAGCTAAACAAATAAACCGGGTGCTGCTGTCGTGCTGATGTTCTACTTCCAGATACTCTGGAGTGTTTGCTCTTTGTGTTCTTAAAGCTCAAACACAGAATCACATCATTTCTCTCCCTTTTTCTCTTTTCTATGTTCCCCATCTCATCATCTCTACCACTCTGTGGACTCTCTCTCTTGTTCCTCCTTTACACCTTGATTCTCACTCCTAACTGTGTCTTTTCTCTTTTCTCCTGGCTCTCTTCCAACCTCTTTCCTCCGTCACTTCTCCGTTTGGTGCGTCCTTTTGCCGTTTCCCTCTTTTGCCTCTTTACATTTGTTTTGCTTCCTTTTGCTTGTTCCCCTTCCATCCCCTCCCCTCCAGGCCTGTAAGCCTAATCACAGTGCAGAGAGCGGGGGCTCGGGTCAGTCTCTGCCCCCTCACGTGGCCTCGTTGGGCCAAGCTGAGGACCAGTCCTGTCCAGCCAAAAGGAGGAGAGCGTCCAGTCCTGCCAAGGTAATCCAGCTCCCGCGCCTCCAAAACAGATCTTTTGTTAAGTTATTTACCCATTTGCAGCCTAACGGTATGCACATTATTTTCCAGGCTTTAATAATGTGTCTTGTACTCAGGGTGACTCATGGACCGGTAATCCAGCACATCAGCCACCACCCAACTGGTACCTCTCCCCAAACAAGTTACAGGTTTGTCATTTTTCTCCGCGTCTTTGAATATGCGGGATATATGTCACTGGAGCACCGATCAGCTCAGGTCTCCGCCCTCTCGTCTTCAGATGCTGGAGCAGCTGCGGAGTAACCGGGCCAACCTGAAGCCCCCCCAGCTTCAGATGTTGGAGCTGCTGGAGGCTCAGCTCGCCATAATGCAGCAGGTAAAACAATCTGCTGTCAGAAAAAAAACTACGTTCTCAGAACATTACGTAACCCGTCACACTGTTGTAAAGCACCAATCTTTCTGCCTTTGTGAGAATAAGCAGGTAACTGATGTCTCCCTGTTTTCTTTTGCTATATAGACTAAACAGAATGCCTCAGGAGGTCAGGTGCGCCCTTCTCTTCCCAACGGCCCCGCTACAAACTCCCTCCCCTCCCCGAACCCAAACCTCAACCCAACGCGGCCCTACCTGGGACCCCATAGGCCCCTTTGCCCTCCTCAGCCGCTGGCCAATGGGCCTGTGAGCTCTGGGACACACGGACACTCAGACTCTGTGGGTGACAACAGTAACATTAGTAGTAACAGTGGTAAAAATAATCAGCCAGGGCCCCCGGCCACAGGACCCAACGGAGATGTGCCTTACCCACAAGCTGCCGCAAGCAGCAACGCAGCACTGCTACCTCACACCTGCACAAGCACGCAAACACAGGACGCCACCCAGCGCCAGGCCCTGCACCTAAACTCCTCTCAGGTAAGCGCCCGCCCACAGCCCGGGGACAGAGCATCCTCCTCCGGCCTGCGGGGTGGTCTAACAGCTGTGCTCTCTCCTCCAGGGGCTGCAGAAAGGGTCTGCTCCACATGCGACAGGCTCGAGCAGTGAGGGGACGCCCTCGCAACCCCAGACCCCTAATTCCACCACCCCCATACACACCAACAATCAGGTTGGACATTCCACTAACGCCCCATCGCCGCGGCAGCAGCCTCACAACCACCTCCCGTCACCTCCCTCCATCCCCCACTCCTCTACCTCAGGTGGTGCAGGACCCGCTGTGTCCACGACCAAAGATGGCAACACCACAGCCACTCTTGCCACCGCAGCCGCGTCCCTCGGAAACGGGGGCTCAGAGGGCAAGGCGCCTTTGCCGCCGCCATCTGCAGGTGGCACAGCGGCGCAGGCCGAAGGCCTGGCCAATCACGTCCACTCGGGGGAAGGCGGCATGGTGCCAGAGGGCTGTGATAAACAGAGCCTTAGCGCAGACAATCCCAGTCTATCTGCCCTGCTGGCAGGGGAAAAGGGCCCCGGGGAGGGCGGGGGGCCCTCAGAAGGGACTACGTCCACATCCGCGCTCGAATCCCACAAGAAAATCAACAACATCCACCCAGCCGCCCTGCCCTCCACCCCCCACACACAGGCCAGCTCGGCTGCGTCCTCACCCATCTCCGCCATATCCACCGCCACGCCCTCACCCAAATCCTCAGAACACACCCAAACCGGTGCACCGAGTCCTGCTGCCTCCACGTCCGCGCCCTCTGCTCCCACCGTCAACGGAAACGGCAAAGGCGGGATCTCCGAGGACTCCCAAAGCCCGCTGAAGGCCGAGCCCCCCGCCGCCGGCGCTCTGAAGGCGACGCCCCCCCACGGACACGGCTCCTCCTCGTCTTCCTCCATATCCATCTACCCCAGCTCCACGGACGTGCTGAAGGCCTGCAGGTGAGAGCGCCGCCCGCTGTCCTGCAGAGAAGGCCTGTTTATGGAGGCAGACATGCACACAGAGGGTCTATGGGTTTTATCATTTATAATGAATAGAACGGAGGAGGTCCGTCCTTCCTGTAGTCACTGTGTTCATCAGAGCAGCATCACTGCATTGTTTTGGACACGTCTCCTCCCAGTGGAATATGAGTGCAAGTACAGAAGCTGAGTGATTATGTAACGGTCGGCAAAGCTGCAGGCCACTGGACGTCTTGTTGCCATGCAGATGTCACTCGGTTACACAGAATCCTCCATTTGGCTCCACTCTTTCGTGGAGTCATTTTACAGTTGACTGGTAGAATTGCACCGTGCACTTTTGTGATGGCGGGGCCAGTCACCCCGGGGGTGGGGGCAGCGTTCCGGCCGCTCCGCACGCCAACCCTCACTCAATCTGTTTCCTCTGTCATGTGTGCAGAAATCTGGGGAAGAACGGGCTCTCCAACAGCAGCATCCTCCTCGATAAGTGCCCCCCGCCACGGCTGCCGCCCCCACCCTCACCAGCCCTGCCCAAAGACAAGCTCAACCCCCCCACGCCCAGCATCTATGTGAGTAGTTGCTCCTGCAGACTGTCCGACTTTATAAAGCCACGCTTCTCTTTCTGACGCCCCTCATCTGTGTGTCGGCTGTTTCTGGAGCAGCTGGAGAACAAGAGGGACGCCTTCTTCCCCCCGCTGCACCAGTTCTGCACAAACCCCTCCAACCCCGTCACCGTCATCAGAGGCCTGGCCGGAGCGCTCAAACTGGGTAAGTGGTTGGTTTGTCACCATTTCCATCCCAGTGAGAGCAGAGGCTGAGCAGATTGTCTTCGCTCTCCGTCTCATTTCAGACCTGGGACTGTTTTCCACAAAGACGTTAGTTGAGGCCAACCCGGAGCACCTGGTGGAGGTCTGGACCCAGCTCTCGCAGCCCGCGGATGAGAACTGGGACCCAAGCGGCACAAAGAAAATGTGGCGCTGCGAAAGCGCCCGCTCTCACACCACCATCGCCAAATACGCTCAGTATCAAGCCGCCTCCTTCCAGGAGTCCCTGCGGGTCAGTACCGCGCCGCTACTGCCCGAACCCACACAGCAGAGTGTTAGGGAACCAAAAGGGAGCGCAGTGGTGTAATGTTGTCTGCTTTTTGATGCTTACTTTTAGGAAGAGAATGAGAAGAAAGCCTTGAAGGAGCCCGCAGACACAGAGCCAGCGTCGGCTGAAAGGTACCCATCATTTCTGTCCTCTGCTTATCGTTTGCCGGTCTGCCTGTGGCTCACTGCTAAATGTGTTTTGCTCATCAAGTGCTGCACGCAAAAGGAGGGGACCCCTGAAACACATCAAGTTCGGAACAAACATCGACGTGTCGGACGAGCGGAAGTGAGTCTGGAGTCCCTCTGGCGGTCTCTTCTGTCACGTCCTGAGACTCAATGTGTGTTTGTTTGTGAGCTTTAACACGCTGCTCTCTGACCCCGTGGTGCCCCCCAGGTGGAAGCAGCAGCTGCAGGAGCTCAGCAAACTGCCGGCCTTCGCTCGGGTCGTATCCGCCGGAAATTTGCTCAGCCACGTGGGTCACACCATCCTGGGCATGAACACGGTGCAGCTCTACATGAAGGTGCCGGGCAGCCGGATCCCGGGCCACCAGGAGCACAACAACTTCTGCGCCGTCAACATCAACATCGGACCCGGAGACTGTGAATGGTTTGCGGTGCCAGAGCCCTACTGGGGAGTGATGAGCAACTTCTGTGAGAAGTAAGAGGGACTTTGATTCTTCCTTTGCTGCCTTCTCCACCGCTCCTGCATGAATCTGATTGTCCGTCCTGCTTTTAAGGAACAACATCAACTTCCTGATGGGGTCATGGTGGCCCAACCTGGAGGACCTGTACGAGGCCGACGTGCCCGTGTATCGGTTCATCCAGCGTCCAGGGGACCTGGTGTGGCTAAACACGGGCACCATCCACTGGGTGCAGGCCATTGGCTGGTGCAACAACATAGCCTGGAATGTCGGGCCGCTCACAGGTACCTCTGCCATTCTGAGTGTCCTCACACGGGCTGGAACACTGCTCACGACTTCAAACTGCTCTTCCAGCTCACCAGTACAAGCTGGCCGTGGAGCGGTACGAGTGGAACAAGCTACAGAGCGTCAAGTCCGTGGTTCCCATGGTGCACCTCTCCTGGAACATGGCGCGCAACATCAAAGTGTCCGACCACAAGCTCTTCGAAATGATCAAGTGAGGCTGGAATCCTTAGCCCTGGGCTCTTGCGCTGTTGGGTCCAGCACTGATGGTGTTTTTGTGGCAGGTACTGCTTGCTGCGGACCTTGAAGCAGTGTCAGTGGGTGAAGGAGGCCTTGGTGTCAGCCGGCAAGGAAACCGTCCTGAGGCCGAGAACCAGGGACGAGCCGGCCCACTACTGCACTATCTGCGAGGTCAGTGGGCTCACCAGGACTTTTCATTTGTCGTGTCGGGTCCGAGTCAGGAAACCTCCCATCAGAAAGCCGCACTCGCTCCACTTTTTGTCCTTTCCCTGATTTCTGTCTGAACCTCACAACTCAAAGTGGTGTTTGACTCATCCACATCACACCAGATACATAACAACTATATCATACACTGTTAATGAGTGTGTGACTTTTACGGACAACAGTCACAAAAATGGTAGTTATTTCTTATAAATATTTCCTTCCACATCACACTGTGAAATGGTTGATCAGTGTTAAATCACAGGGATGAGGTTTCTGTTAAATGGAAAAGAGTGGGTTTCTGTGAGTGTTTTTTCTGTAATTACCAGCTATGTTAATGTTAACCCGCCCGTCATCCTTATGTCTGCTCTGTCCTAACACTTGGACGTACACGTCTTCTCATGTGCGCCTCAGGTGGAAGTGTTTAACCTGCTGTTTGTGCGCCGCGAGCTCCTGTCCAAGAAGCAGTGTGTGGTCCACTGCCAGGACTGTGCCCGGAAAGGCAGCGCCACGCTGGACGACTTCGTGGTGCTGGAGCAGTACCGGATAGAGGACCTGATGCAGGTCTATGACCAGTTCACATTAGTAAGTCATCGGCCAGATTGTGCCTCCTCCCTCTGTTGTCGAGCTTTGGATCATCGAAATACTCCACCAACTTTGCTGCCGATTATAAGCTGGTCTGATTTTATTGTCCTGTCTCCCTCCCAGGCCCCTCCTCTTCACTCATCTTCATCTTGACATTAAGCGACTCCTCTGATGTGATGTTCTGCTCTGGAGCCATGAAGCCCATCACAAGAACTTGTATTAAGATTTTAAATAAACAACAACCTAACATCACCATAAACGGACCATTTCTGATATTCAGGAAAACCAAGGCCGTCCCTCCCCCCCCTCAACACCGCCCCTCTCTTGTGGCTGGTCTCTATAGCGACGGCCGGAGGCTGAGGCGGCCGAGTGTGTCTGTCTATGCAACCTGTTTGAGGAGCAGAGCCTTCCGGAAGGGGGCTCCACCTGGCTCAGCAACGGGACTAGTTCTCTCTTTTTCCCTCCTCCCCCTCCCAGCCCCCTCTACAGACAATGGTTCAGCCCTGTTTTAATGGAGGACTTAATCAAATACGGTTTGGGAACCGGGGGGACGAGGGGGCAGGAGTGGGATTCTTAAAGCGTGATAAACATGTTTTGTAGATACTTGTTAGCTGTCACAACTGGCCACAACACCCGTAAAAGACTACTGACTTGACAAACCCTCTCCCTCTGACTCTCCCCTTTTTCTATTCTGGAAACAGGATGAAATGTTAGTTTTGATTTATGGAACTCTCCCAGATTTTCTTGTGTTTTTCCTTCTAAGGAGCACTAGCCTAACTGGTCTTTTTCTATAGTAGATAGTCATTTTAAGACTCTTTGAACAGCAAAATCTCCACAAAAAAAATTTAATGTGAAGAGTTTAGTTCTATTTGTTTTTTTTTACAGTTTTTCGTTTTTTTTGTCTTGTTCTTTTCAAAACTACAATGTTTTCATTTTTCTTAGGTTAAAATAAAAAGGAAAAAAAACTTACTAGCCAAGTCACAAAGAAAATGGGTTGCACATAGACTTAATGGAATTAAGTTTAATTTGTGATTTTGTTTTATGTTTCTAATCTTGATGTAAATTTACACTATTTATAAATACATATTTATTGCTTGAAAATATTTGTTGATGGAATGCTGTTATTTTTTCCAGAGTACCTGCCATTAAATTTGAAGGAGTTTTGTCATTTTAACACAACTCCTCTTACATTTTCTATATATAAATAAAATTGCTTAGCAAGCAATGTACAGAAACGGACATTTAAAACTGTTTTATTGTTTGAAGAATGTTTTATGAGTCAATAAACACAAAGTTGTCAAATTATCCACGCTTTTGTGCTCCCTTAAATACACCAAGGTACTTCTGAATGGATTGGTCACAGTAGAGGCAATGCAGATAGCTCGTATAGGTCTGAAACCCAGCAGACAATGTAGCTGTAGACTGACACACAGGATCCTACACTGTATGCCAGGTTCAGAACGTATGCCGTCTCTCAGAAGTCCGCATCAGGAACATCCCTGCTGTTCTCCAAAGTGCCGACTTGGATCGACTCCACTGGAGGCTTTTCACTTCAGTCCATGGACACGTGATGTTTCTGAAAAAAATGTTAAAGCTGTGGGGGAGAAAGGACCACGAAACAACTGTGTTGGAAGGGGGGCTACTTCAGAAACTCAAGCCGTGGGTATCCAGGACGGTGTGGCTGTCAGCAGAGACCCAGTAGCCAGATGTAGCTGCTGCCAGCCCCACAGGATCTACACTGACTACTGAGCAACTGCTGGGCACCCAGAGGCTCTGCAGCTCTTGTTGGAGCCAAAATTGTCAGAAATAATGAGGAGGAAAACAACGTCATGCTGATTCAACTGTAGATGGTACAGGTAAGAATGTGTGCACTTCAGAAATGATACAGACAACATGCTCAGTGATAGTTTAACACCAGCCCCGCTTTAAATGCAGGCATCTCTTTAACGACACAAGTTATGCTGCCGATCCTTTGTTAAATACAGAGAAATGAAGAAAATGCTCACGCCACAACACCCAGACGGTCTCTTCCTGCTCGCACCGTCTCCTAACAACACCCTGCCAATTTCCTTTGTTGGCTACATGTGTGAAAAGTTGTTTGCTGGAGTCAGTTTTCTTTGTAAGATCCCCACTCTGCAGGACTTATTAAAACAATTTTCACACTTCCTGCTTCATCCCTGGTGAGGGTATGGCAATCGCTGCTCATGTAGCAGAAAGTCTCCCTGCAATAAGCTCTAGTATCAGTTTGCTTTCAAACGGAGAGCACTGTTCCCAAAGTAAAGTACTGTGATTTTCATCAGCAGAAGAATGGATCTCTGTAAAAAAAACATGGATATTCCTCATGGAGAGAATAGAGACTAGAACATTGTCCATTCAGAATGAATGAACCAAAACATACTGATTAAAGCAAAGCTCCATTATTTTAGAAGGTGAACGTGGACTGTGAACATATACCTTTAAACACAGCTGTTGACATGGCTCTGTGAGCGTTTGGAACAGAGGTTTTGACCTTTTAAAGACAATCTGAGGTGGAGAATGAAAACAAGCTCAATCCTTCTTATCTCCCTGATTCCCTTTCAGCACTGAACAGTGACGATGCTCCAACGCCGAAAACAAAATGGCAGTCTGAGCAGGTTTTTCGTTACTTCTCTGGAAGAGCTGGTTTTCGGTTCAGGGTCTCACCACTGTCCTGCAAGGGAAAAGAAACATTAAGGCTGAGGGAAAGAATTTAGACTGAAAGAAACATGAAACATTCAAACATGCAGCTAAAATCTTTACTCATTGTGCACTTTTTTGAACAATTTTGACTCTGTAAAAAAAAAAAAAAGACCCTCTCTGGATGCAAGCGGCTACAAAACCAAGTGTGGGCTGAGAAATCGTGATTCCAGGAAACTAGATGGCAATTTCAATGTGTACGTCAGAAAAGAAGACGGAAGCTTCCTGTTGGTTGAAACGACAAAGACAGGAAACTTGAGTTTGGCGACACAGTGATACGTTAAGAGGGAGGGATGAATGTGTAATTATTCACCTTCAATCATCTGTTGACTTTTTCCTTTTCATGCTGTCTTACTGCACACACACAGTTTCATTTTGTCGCTCAAATGTCAGAGTAGCTGCCCTCCTCAGCCTATATATCCCAGCTAACACACTGAAATCTGGCAGAGCTCCAGCAGAGTGGTATGTGAACTCCACTTGGCCCAGACCACCAACCGAACACCCCCCCCCCCCTCCCCGTCCACATCATCAAATCCTGACCTGAAACAATGTCTCCCTGTGTCGCAGCAGAAGAAAAAAGGAGAGAAAAGAGCAAGAAAGGAGGAGTTAAATCGGCAAAGTGATCAATGCCCTCCATCCTGTCCTGAGCCCCTTTTTCCTTCCTCTCTCCTCCCTCCATCCCTCCTCTGATGTTTCCGCCTTTGTGAGAAGCAGACAGGTGGCCCTGACTGCTAATTTTAACCAGGCCGATTGTCTGCCTGTGTTTCCCACAGCTATGTATAGACGGCTGCAATAAACCAAGTAGGTCACCGTGCAACACTCGCACACCTACAAACACACACAGGGCCTGACCTCAAAAAATTGTCTGACTTGTCCATTCATCCACTCCCACTTCTGTTGCTAATCATCCACGCTGATTGGCTGCCATGCACAGCCAATGACGGAGCTCTATGCTGTCCATTCATAAAACCCAGGGTCATTGAAGTTAATGTGGTATTAAGGCATGAGGAAGGGGGGGGGGAAGCTCACTTTTTAGTTTGCACAATGCCATCAGACCACATGCTGCTGGAGCATGAAGGAAAAACATAAATATTGCTGATATTTCTCTGTGCATGTAAATTAAATGTTCTATATTAAGTCTGCAGATTTGTATATGATGATATCTGTTCTTCAAAGTTGAGATTAACTCCTCAAACAGACATAACATTCCTGCGTTATTTTCTTAGCCTATCACTCTCTACGCCTGTCCATCCGTTTCTTATGTTTTACTCAAAGGCCCCCCATTGTTATTTCTTTCCCTGTAATTATCACCCGTTTTAAAGCCCCCCCCTTTCTCCCAGCGTTTAAAAATAGACTCATGCGATTGTGTCAAAGTGACTCACTTATGTGCAGATGAATGTGTGACTTCCAGAACAGGGGCCCATAGGTGAGATGGAGAGAGGGGGAGCACAGATTCATTCACGCCAAGCAAACCTGTTAATAAATGGCTCCGACACGCATTGGAATTTGATCACTTTTCAGACCTCAAAGATTAATTAAATTGTTGCAAAACACTGCAGTATTTCAGGGTAGAGATCCATGTCCATGAATTACACATCTTGATATTCCAGATACTGCCCCTACTTTTACAGCTCTTTCTTCCTGAATACTGAATTTAATACTTTAAATCACAAAAAAATAAAAAAAATGCTTTGGTAAAGACATGAGAGTTTCACAACTTTTTATCTAAAGGCTATGTCATGTGGTGGAAAGGGGACAACAATTTTTTCCCCCCCAATCTGATGGGAAAGTTGAATTGTTCCGGGTAAAATGACAAAGGCGTCCACCCATTGCTTCTGTCGAAGGATGAGATGGCGAGGCACAGTTTCTGATGGGCTGCCCAAGATAACAAAAAAGAATGAGGTGCTATCCATCGCCATGGCAACGGCGAGTAATTAGCACAGAGAGAGGGACAGGAAGAGAGGGAGAGCGGGTGGGATGTTGGCCTGCTTTCAAGAGATGAGCAACAGGGGGGAGGACGGGGGGGGGGACAAATGAAGCGAGCAGGTTTCAGGTGTGGCTACGCAGGGCCACAGATGACAGGAGATTCTGTGTGTTGGCTCCATCTTTCACCAGTCAGCCTGATTAAGAAATCAGCACTTTCGCGGGAGGAAAGACAGGCTTAGTCGCTGCTGCTCCACTCAGCGAGCCCCCCCCCCCTCCCGAAGCCTCGCTGCATGTTTACACAGAGACAGCGAGGGGAAAGCTGGGTTCAGCTGTTGATCTGGATCACGCTGCTACAGTCCCCCATGTACCACGGATGTGTCTGTCCATCTGCTAGTCATGTGATGTAGTCACTAATGTGATTTCAGACAAAAGCTGCAGAGAGGACGCTTTGGGACAAAGACCCCACAGCAAAATATCAGAGTTTTTAGGTCATTTTACTTCATTTTGACGATGACTTAAATGTGAAGGTAGCGTAAGACCTGTGGATTCAAGGTCCAGCCCTTTCTGAGAAAAAATAGAATTGAAAAGGAAATATGATGGATTTTCAAGAATTTGAAAAACTCATCTGGTGAAGCGGTGACAGCTGTAACACCATGAATCTATAGGCAGTTATGCGTCATTACTTAACCCTCATTTTTCAAACCTTTTTTGTGACCGTGGCTTCAGCTTGTGTTCAGTTGACCCACAGATTGAACTTTGTACCTGGATTCATCCTCTCACAAAGCAGAAACACATCTAATCTACCCCCCCCCCCCCCCCCCCCCCACACACACACACACACTTGAGACACCCACACATTTGGAGTACAGTTTTTACCCCTATTCTTTAAGCATCAGACATTTCCAAAATCACTCTCTTCCCCTGCAACAGCTAATGGCAGGCAGGATCCCACGGGCGCTTATATGCTAAGAACAATTATGCAGATGTGTGCTAAAACCACTTTGGTGCAATAATCCAACAATCAGTCCATTATAGTAATTGTCGTTAGCGAGTGGGCGATTATGGCTTCGATGGAGATTCTGAAGAACAAGCAGAGCTCCGCTGGTTTTATGCAAATGTGGCGAGCTCCATTTAATGTGTCAGATGTAATGTCGCTGTATTTCTGAGATGCTGGGGTCTGCATGTGTGTGTATGAGTGTAAAAAAACACCTGAAGGTCAGTTTCCTATTCAGCTTTGAGGGGATGTAGATAAATTACCAGTGAGAAAAGAAGGAAGGTTGTGCTTTTAAAAAAAAGAAGCTGATTTTCATCTCAGATGGCAACCGTACCTTAGTTTTATTTGCTGAATGCACAGCGGTGCCAGCAGCATATCGGCTTTGACAAACAGTAAATGTAGCCCTTCAAAGATAGCTGAAAAACAGCTCTTCTAAATATCGTTCCTTTATGGTTCACAAACAATCCCATCATTTCTCTAATGTAAATTTAATGCACCATGAAATGCTGAGCCATTGTTATGTGGAATATTTCCCATTATGCTAGAAACTTCTAAAAATAAACATCTGGGGTATATTCATTTCATTATAAAGGGGAATATTTGAAAATTGAACATTAATTCAGTGGTGTTCAGGGCAAAGAGTTACAATCACTCATGAACATCTCATTTGTTGTTCAGAGAGATGA